ATGCAAGTGGTATCCTTCCCATTTTATTTTGTATATTTACACTAATTGGTAAGGTGCATATTGTGTCTAGAATGCATTTCACAGATGCTTTCTGTACATAAAAAAGAATACAGGGACTCAACGCTGTGCAGTGTATAGCAGAGCCATTTTCGGCTTTGATGTACTCAGAACTTTTTCAGTATTTAAAAAAGTGTTTTGAATAATATATTAAAAAGTCTATTGTATAAATAAAGTCACCTTATCATAAGTAGTCTGTCTTTTACAATGAAATTGCAAGACACTAGCACAAAGGTACCGTTTTTGTATCATTCACAGATAGCAAAAGTTTAGAATGTCAGGCCCCTTTATTGTCATTTCATGGGCTCTGTATTTAATTTCGTAGCACTCCAAGGAAATCAGAAGCACCACATAGGAGTGCATTCTCCAAAAAAGACACATTTTCATCAGCTGTAGCCACAGAAGTACTATCGGCTGTCCCAGTGGTTTAGAATGCTAATGCAAGTTTAGCAAAATGATTGTTATTCTTCACCAGGATCCTGCTCATAGTGCTGCATCTGGCAGAACTGATTTGCAGTAGTGTCTGCCTCATGCATAGCTATCATTATGGTAGTCATCTATGCAAGTGCTAGGAAAGCATTTTCAGCATCATGCTGGATTGGAGCCAATGGGTAGAAATAGCCTCTCTAGGCTGAACAAATGCCAGCCATAGTATCCTTAGTCATCCCAAGGTTTGCATTATGTTGTAATAGCAAACATTTAGTAATTGTTACTACTACAGCTTCCTCATAAGAACATAAGAAAAGCCATGCTGGATTGGGCCAAAGGACCATCTAGTCCAGCTTTCCATACACATGGTGGCAAGCCAGCTGCTCATAGGATCCCTCAAGCAGGATGGGTGCAAGACTTCCTCACCCCCAAGCTTCTCAGTAACTGGTGTATGCAGGCATGCCACCTCTGGTAAAGGAGGAAACACATAGTTCACAAGGCTAGTAGCCACTGTTAGCCTCCTCCCTCATGAATCTGTCCAATCCCTGTTTAAAGCCATCCAGATTGGTGGCCATCACCATTTCCCATGGCAGTGAATTCCATAGTTTATCTATATGCTGTGTGAAGAAATACTTCCTTTTATATGTTTGGCAGGAGTCCTGCCCCTCCTCTCCCTCTACTGTAAATAGGAGGGGCTCCTGCCATTTTTCCCAGTTCAAAGAAGACTGACATTTTGGGTTCAGAACTGGGGAAAAGATTGGTAAATGGCCCTTATCTGCACTGGATTGGCATGGACTTTGAGAGGATGTGAAATCTTTTAGGAATGAAGGGCAAGTATTGATACAGACATGGGGCTGATGGGTGGGCTGTGTGAATGCACAGACAACCACTCGTAGAATGTTGGTTACAGATAAGCACACTTAGTTTCTTTTTCATGGTCTTTGCACATCACACACGGGTGATTAGCAAGCTTATCCAAAATGGTGGTGGGAGGTGTTATCACCAGAGGATAGCAGAGAGTACCGCTCAGGCAGAGAAGCAGTTCTGTCTTGCATGGACATTAAGTTGGTAATGTCTTACAAATGTTGAAGGTGTGGATCAGGTTGTCACTCTGCAAAGGTCTTGTAGAGGGATACTGGCTTGCAGTGCTGTGGATATTACCATTGCTTTAGTAGAATAGGCTTTCAGTTGTTCTGTGAGTTGTATTCCTCTGAGCTGGTACACTAGTTTAATGGTTTCTCTAATAGAATGAGCAAGTTGCTGAGGACTAATTGGTTTGCCTTTGCTGTAGGCTATGAAGTTTTGGAGAAAAGTCAAACAGTTTGGTGAGCGATCTGTAAAAGGCTAGGGCTTGATTAATGTTGAGGATGTGTAGGGTGAATTCCATGGGGGTGGGTGGAGATGGTAAGAATGCTGGTAAGACTTAAGTCAGCTGGGAAGGGCACGAGGGGAGGGAGTGGTGCTGGCTTTGGCCGGTTCTGTGATGATAATTGGACTTGCTATTGAACCTTGCTGCTGGATTTGGACTCTTTATAACCTTGGGTTCTGTTGCCCTGGTCCTGGTGCCTCTGTCTTGTCTCCTGCCACCCATGCCCTGAACCCTGACACAGGGGAAGGTACATGGTCAGCTCCAGTGATATCAGCAGAAGCAGTGTGTCAACCAACAGACGGAAGCTTTTGTTTGTTGGGAAAACACAGAAAAGTATACACTAGATTTAAAATCTGTCTGCATGCTGTTGACTATGCAAAGAAATCACACTGATTAATAGAACTTCAAAGTATTTTTAGGATTGCAGAAATATGCAGGTTGCATACCTGTAACTGTAGTTCTTCAAGTGATCATCTGTGCATTCACCCATATGGGTGCTGCACCTGTGCAGTGCCCTATTCCAGAAGCTTTCTCTAGCTCAGCCTAGAACTTTCCTCAGGAGCCCCGCCCCCTCTCTTCCCCTGTATAATTGAAGGGCTCCTGCCATTTTGTTTCACTGGAGACTGACATTTGCTGCCTGTGTGTGTTGTAGATCAATCATGAGATGTGACTATTAATATTGGGAGCAAAGCTTGCATATAGTGTTATTACAGAGTCACTGACACTGATGTGGGGCCAGTGGGTGGGTTTTGTGAATGTACAGGTGACCACTTGAAGAACTACAGTTACAGGTATGCAGCCTGCATTTCTTTGTTGTGGTCTCTGTGCATCACACATATGGGTGATTAGCAAGCATCCCTGATCAGAGTGGGGAGGTTTTGGCTGGGAATATATAGATATACCAGCATATAAGTCCAAGACAAGAATGAGACAAAACTTGAACTCATGTCCTATGAACTCATTTATCAAACATAGTAAAACAGGTGAACTGAACCAATGCGTAGTCAAGGCACTGCATATTAAAGAATACATACAACGCCATCCTTCAATGTTCTAGCTCAATATTAAAACATGTATGAACACAAGAGCGTACCTAGATAGGTCCCTGGTTAAGAAATATCTGGAAAACAGAATAGTACTCTCCCAAAGGAGCAGTCCTTCCTTGATCTAACGTCTAGTTTATAATGCTTAACAAATGCTGATAGATTAGTTCATGTAGCTGCCCTATAAAGGTTTTCAATCGGGAGAACTGCATGAAGGGTCAGTGCTGAAACAGCCCTTTTGAATGGGCTTGCAGTCGATCAGGTAAGTCCAAGGAAGACAGTTCGTAAGCCACCTTGATGATATTCACAATCCATTGTGCCAAACGCTGAGGACTCACTGGGTCTCCCTTATATCAATTAACATACTTGATAAACAGTAGTTTTGTCTTATGTATAGATTCTGTTCTCGAACAGTAAAACCCTAAGGCACAATGGGCATGAAGGGCATGCAGCGCTCTTTCAATGTCCAAGGCAGGGGGTGGGTAAAAGGCTGGGAGGATGATTTCTTGGTTAATATGAAAGGAAGATGGGACTTTGGACAGAAAGGACGATGCCGGTTTGAAGGATGGCCTTGTCCCTGTGGAAGTTTAAGTATCGGGGGCGGGGGGGGGGTCCACCTGTAATGCGCAAAGCTCATTTGCTTGTTGAGCTGAAGTAATTGCAACAAGGACAGAAACCTTCCATGACAGCAGTCTTAAGTCAGCTGTTACAAGTGTTTCAAATGGAGGTTTGGTTAAGGCGTGCAGCACCATGGAAAGACTCCAAGAGGGAAACTGTTGGGTTGGAGGGTGCACGTTTTTGAGTCCCCTCATAAACGGTCTGGATAATGGATGGAAGAATGCACCAATAAGTAAACTTGAATCAACATTTTCTTGAGCCCAGACAAATGGAGAGAATTCCAAAACCCTCTTGATGGAGGCAGAGGAGGGGTCAAACTCATGCAGAGAGGCAGCATTGTTAAACCTCACCCATTTAGAGGAATAAGAGTGCCTTGTAGGAGGTCTGACACTGCTGATAGGACCAATTGGACTCCAGGGTCCCAGTCCTGTGCCCTGGACATAAAATAGTCCCAATCAGCCAGTGGGGATGCAGCAGTACTGTCACAAACAGTGCACTCTGAGATGGCCAAATCAGACTCAGTCAGCCCTGTGGAAGTCAGAATGGTGGAGCAGTCGGAAGCTATCTGGTTTAATTCTGTCAGGAGAGAAGAAACTCTTGGGGCGGTGAGATCTGTCTGGCATGGGAAAGAACAGTCTTTTGGGATGGAGGGCAATTGATGTTCCAATGAACCAGTATGCTCCGCAGATTGATACGGTACTGTAGGTGTGGTAGCTACAATATTCTCCAGGCCTTGAGACTAAGCATTTGCAAGTCGGGGTGTAGAATTTTGCCCTGTGCCTGGGACAAGACAGTGGGAATTTTTGGCAGATGTATAGTTCCAGGATGAATGGGCACCAAGGCTGCCTTGACCACCATGGGGTGACCAGGATGGCTCGTGTTTGTTCCATCCTCATCTTAAGATATATTAGCTCTTTGCACATGGCTTAAAACTAGTGCAACACTGGTCGTGCTAACAGAATTATACTACTGGATACAACCCTGTGTGGTGTGAGTCTGAATGAAACTGATTGTGGGCTGAAACTTTCTATTTGTAGAAATAAACTGCTTTTCCTTCTGTGCTGGAACAGAAAAGAGAGCTGAAATGAGTGATTTTTGTATTTTGGAGCTCAGGGCAGGTTACTTGTCTTTTAACTTCACAATGTTTTCGGAATGTCTGCATCCACCAAAGGAGACATTATACTAATTACAAAATTTCAAATGTGCCACGAACCCCAAAACATTAGGGACCCCTCTACTAAGGAAGCCCTATGCAATTGATTTTTGTTTTGTTTTACAATTGAAGGGTACAACTCTTCCATACATATTTTAGGCATGTATAACAATTGTATATAAAACATATTTACCCATGTGGTGATTTGCTAATACTGCTCAATGTCTCCTGCATGTGTCAGAATCTGATTTTCAGATACAGAAGAGGCAATTAAGCCTTCATCATACTTTTCTTGTAATAGTTTAAGCTATTAATTAAATCCTTCACACTGTGCAGATTAAAACATACAGTTTTTTATTCTTTGAACAAATTGTGGTGCTCTTAAAATCAGACAATAATAAAAAGTCATTTTGAGCAGCAAGTGTGTGGAAAGCAAATCCAGATCAGTGCATATTATGTTGGCTGACATTAGACATATTTCTTCATGGAGGCAGGGAGAGAAGCAGGGTGTTCATGGATACAACCATCAGCAGCTCCTTGAGTAATGAAGCATTCTTCCTTGAATCCATGCTGGACAAATCCACAAATATAACATAAATGTGGATATTTTACAAGTATGCAATAGATTGTTGAACTGGTTGCAAAAAAGATAAAAGTCCTCAGTAAATCAGACTTGAAGAATAATGCCGGCATGTGAACTTAGGGGTTATGCTAATTCAAACAGCTCTCTAGCATAAGGGCTACTGTCTTCATCCTTGGGAGAGTAAGATCTAGCACATTTCAGTTCAAATCAGTAATAATGAATCATGTAGGAATCCTGCTTCTTAGATATTCAAGCACAGCAGCTGTACCCTTGGCAAGAATTGCTGCTCGAGGAGTCCGGAAAGGATTGCCTTCCAGCAGAAGTGTCCTAATTGAAGGACCAGAAACCAATTAGAATTCAAGTTCACAGTGCACCCATGTGTATGTGCACACACAAACCTTACAAATGAAAGCAGTAAGCAATAATTTAAATTCTACTTTTAAGTAGGTATCACTGTGGAGTCAAAAAAGTCAATTTTACATAACTACAGAAACTTTGGATTTGCTTTAATCACTACTGGATTTATACAAGTTGAAAGACCACTATTTCTACAGGTTTCAATAAAATCTTCAAAATCACACTGCATACTTATTTTATTCAATTTCTTACAACAATATGCTTTTTCATGCATACATCTTTATTAAAATATTCTCCAACATAAATTTTAGTTCAGGTCTGCCCCCAGAATTGCATCTTCCTATTCCCTCTCCACTGAAAATCCATGCCAATTAGAAACTGGAAATTTCTCTTTTCAGTTTGCTGCTACAGGCTATGTATGTGTGCATGTGCACGCACGCACGCACACACATACCTGCCTGCCTGGGCCAAGATCTGTAACAATTCCAATTTCCAATCAATTTGACTGACACAGAAGCAATTCTGAGAAAGGGTTTTCTTCTGCATCTTTTTTTAAGCACAATCACAACCTATAAAGTGGGGAAACTTAATTTGAACATGTGCAGAATATTCACAGCTTTATCTGTGAAGAACTAAGGATACATACCTCAAAAAGACAGGTTTCCTTACCTGTACCTGTCATTCTTCGAATGATCATCTGTGCATTCACACATATGAGCTCTTTGCACATGCATGGAGCGGTTTTTTGGGAAGATTCTAAAGCTGATTAATTAGTATTCAGCAGGAGCCCAGCCCCCTATGCAGCTAGCATGAGGGCGGGCCTCCGGCCGAGACCTCAGTTTAAGCTAAGACCACCATCATCATTGCATCAGTGGCACAGAATAACCCACATGTCCAAGAGCGAAACCAGAGGGGATGGCGGGTGGGTATGTGTGAATGCACAGATGAGCACTCAGAGAACGACAGTTACAGGTAAGGAAACCTGTCTTTATTCTTCGTGGTCTTTGTGCATCACACATATGGGTGACTGGTGGGCTTACCTCAAGTAGGAAGGTGGTGTCACTCAGTGCAGAGGATGGGTTGAATATACTTATTCAGAGAACAAAGGTCCATGATAGGACGAAGGCCTCTGTCCTTCTTTGGAACCATGAAGTACCTGGAATAGAATCCAGGATTTTTTTGATGGTGCAAGTTCAATAGCCCCTTTATGAAACAGGGTGGAAATTTCCTGTAGTAGAGGTGGTGATGGAGCTGTTTGTTTTGGTACTGTAGAGCAAGGGAGTATAGTAAACTCAATACAGTATCCATGGGCAATGATGGAAAGCACACTTGAGTCTGAGGTTATGGCTGTCCAAGTTAAACACAGAAGAGCCAATGTGAGATGTATGAAGGAATCACAGATGCCTCCTGGAATCATCTGGGTGCCTTTGGGAAGATCGAACCCGTGAGAAGGGATCTTGGCATCTAGGCTGACTGGCTGTACGCTAATAATAGTGGTGGCAGGGATCCTAGGTTAGTAGGAAGATTTGTGCCACTTATATGAGGTATATTGCCTTGGGGCATTGGTTGATTGAGCCCCATGTGGTGAGCAGTACACCTGGCCTTTTTTGAACAGAGTCCATTCAGTTGTCGGTGGTTTCGTGGAACAAGCCAGTGCCGTCAAATGGCATGTCTTCTATTCACGCTTTGGCCTCCCCTGACAAGCCAGAGGATCAAAGCCATGCGAAGCGGCGGAGACTATTGCTCCTGCCATATTGTGAGCACCACCCACAGTATGGTGTCATGCTGTGAGGATCTTGTCTGGCTAGGTACGTAGCATCATTCTTAATTTCATTTGCCAGGTCTTGGGCGTCCTTAGGTAGTGAAGAGCATAGGGATGCTGTTCTATGCCAAAGTATGAGGTGATATCTGGCCATGGAAGCTTGATAGTTGACCATTTTTATAGACAGGACTGACAAGAAGTAAAAGTGGTGGCTAATGGCATCAAGGCATCTACCTTGATGTCAGATGGAGTGGCATGTTCCCTCCTGGAGTGTGACTGGCACACTCTACAATGATAGAGTTTGGCTGAGGGTGTTGAAACAGGAATTCAGCATCTTTTTCTTGAATGTGATACATATTTTTGAAGCGGTGTGGTGGGGCCATGGATGCCGGGAATGTCCATTCATGATGGATCGTATCCAGCAGAGTTGGGAGCAGCAGAATGGTAACAGATCTGGCAGACTCTGCATAAACAGCCTCAAAGACTGGGTCTTTGGCTCTCAAGGGTTCTTGTGTAGGGTTAAGTCCTAGACTATAGGCCATTTGGAGAACCTGGGACGCAAAGAATCCGGTATCCTCAGGTGGTCAGTATAGAACTGAGAAGGTTGTCATAAGACCTGAGGAAACATTGAATTGCTGGTCTGGAGAAGATGCCATCGAGACCAAGGTATATTGCCCTCCTTTGAAGAGACCTTCAGTTCTATTGGTATGCTGGGCAAAGAGGATGGAGGTCGCCTGTCTGCAAACCACAAAAAATTGGCAGGGACTCAAGCTGGTTGCTGGAATGTGCTGCGAGAGCTGGGACCAGGCAAAGGATCACGTTTCAAATCCAACAGGCTCCAATGGGATCCTTGTCTTGAGCTGACGAATCTCCACCATTCTACATAGAACTTGAAATCGAAATCCCCTTGATTTCTTGGGGGAGATTGATGTTTTTTATGAGTTGTCTGAGCTGGGGGAGATCAAGAACGTTGCTTGGCTCTTTGTCTCTTGGGCTGGAGAAATACACTTGGTACTGAGGGTGAAGGCGAGGTGAGGCAAGGCTCTGTACTAGAGGTTGGGCTGGTTGAGGAGTCTGAACCGGCAACTCCGAAATTGCTCCTTTGGACACGGACGTGCTCCCTGGAGGTTGAAATGGCTGTAGGGATTGTCCCAGGTTCTCCTGACTTTGGGGCAGCGCTGTGTCTCCAGTACACAGGAGGCCACTAGGTACCAACAACTAGGAGCTTTTTGTGCTTCCCTTCTCTTTAATAAGGGTAAGCAACTTTGGAGGCTTTGTTTTCTTTTCCGCCTTTTGTTTTGCCACCTTGAGCATTTTCGCCAGTGGGGGAGTTGGCGATTCGTCTGGGTTTTGAGCCAAAGCCGCAGAAGTGGATGGCTGAGGGTCTTCGGTGTGTAAAGCACGGCTCCAAAGTTCTGCTTTTAAATGGTCAGCCTGGTATTTCCTTATCTGCTTCATAAAAGCTTGGCAGTGATAACAAGATTCTACGATGTGAGACTCTCCCAGGAGAAACAAACAAAGGGAGTGGCTGTCGGTTGGTGGGAGCTTGCTACCGCATACAGAGCAGTTGCGGAAAGCAGCCTTCAGTGGTATTGCCTGGCCGGCAAGGCACAACAGAAACCCTCAGTGGTAACCACTGTAGGATACAAATAACTTTTCTTTTTCTTCGAGCAATAGAGAGAAAATAGAGGAAAAAAACCTGACCTGCAGGAGCTTTTATGTATACCTCACAAGGTAAGTTGGAGAAGAGCTTCCTGACGCGTTCACGATGGCAGTCAAAGAATTGAAGTTTTGGCCAGAGCCCCACCCTCACACTAGCTGCATAGCGGGCTGGGCTCCCGCTGAATACTAATTAATCAGCTTTAGAATCTTCCCAAATAACCGCTCCACACATGTATGAAGAGCCCATATGTGTGATGCACAGAGACCATGAAGAATAACTATAACTGCAGCAATTCAAGTAGACATAAAATTAAAATGGATTTAGTAAAGTATATTTGTACAGACTTTTTCCAAATAAATAACCCACACAGAAAAAGGTTATCGACAAATAATAAATGTGAGCTGCCCCGAGGCTTCGGCAAATGGGGGGGCATAGCAGCTTTCTAAATAAATAAGTAAGTAAGTAAGTAAGTAAGTAAGTAAGTCACCTGATATTGACACAGTTTCCAAGTTCTGGTGGTATTTGCAAGAGATCATTATTTTGAAGATCTAAGGTGCCAAGCCTGTCCAACTTCTTTAGTTGCAGAGGGTCCAGGGATCCAACCTGATTATTGCCAAGGAACACTGCTTCAAGTGTTGGGATGTGATAAAGGACATTTGGAAATATTTTGAATCTATAAATGAATAATTACAAGTAAGCCACCACCATGGAAACAGATTAATTTCACCTAAAACATAACCTGTGTAAATATACCTGCCAAATGCACTTGTTCACTTCCAACAATCACAGTTGCTAGGAAATGAGCATGCTGGAGCTTTCAGAAATTCTATTCAAAAAATCCATGGGATGAATCAAAACTAACTTAACAGTATGTATGACTCACTAAAATTGAGCAAGTAAGGCTTAAGTTCAGTTAACTTGCAGTGCAATCCTAACGTAAGTGACATAAACTTGCATCAGATTTTATGATTTGTCAGGATCCAAAATATCTATAACAGGTACATAGGTCATTTGTAACAAGAGCACTGGTGTGATGCCAGACTTCTCAGAAAAGGCAAATAGTATTTATCTGAAATTATTTCCCAGTGTAACTGAGATACATTGCAAAAATTCAAGGAAATAAAGAATCATGTTTTCAGAGTAAAGTATTTGTTAATGTTACAAGAAAACTTGAAGGTCTAGATTTGGGTGGTGGTTGTTTTACAAACAATGGACTAGATAATTGATTTCTACAAACAGAAGGGCTTTTCCCATATGTAGAAGACTTTTGAATAACATATCTGCTGGCAATATGTGAAAGGAAGAGATAAAAATGAGCTTCAAATTGGAAGTAAATGATCTTTCAGAAATGCATTTTGATTGGAAAAGTATACTTATATAGCAGTATTGTCAAAGTAATGTGCACAGAAATACAGGAGGATGCACTTAGTAGCCTCATCAAGAGCATCTGGAACACAGTGGTTGGAGTCTATTACCAAAGAGTCAGTCAAGGAGAAGACAAGGATGAAACTTTTAAAAAGCAAATTGCCAGTGTTTCAAGGAGGCATGATGTCATTGTTATGTGGGTTTTCAATTTTCCCAATATCTGTTGGGAAACAAATTCTACCAAACACAGCTCCTCCAAGAGATTCTTAACATGTATCGCTTATACCTTCTTCCAACAGTTAGTGGAGGATGGAACAAGAGGAACAGCTATCCATGACTTGATATTAACCAACTAGTGGACAAAGTGGCAGCTATGGGAAATGCAGGTTGCATACCTGTAACTGTAGTTCTTCGAGTGGTCATCTGTGCATTCACACATATGGCTGTGCCAGTGCAGTGCCTTGTTCAGAAATATTTCTCTAGCTTACTCTCCATAGGAGTCCTGTTCCCCCGAGCCCCTATATAAAAGGCAACCTTCTGCCATATCATCAGTTCCACTTGAGACCGACATTTGCAATCAGTATACCTAATCATTAACTTGTGGGATATGTACAATTTTGCAATAAATACCAATAATGAAACCAAATAGTTCATATGTCTATGTATCTATAATCACCAACACCAACGTGGGGCCTGTGGTTGGGTTGGATAAATGCACAGGTGACCATTCAAAGAACTACAGTTACAGATATGCAACCTGCATTTCTTCGTTGTAGTCTGTGCATCACACATAAGGGTGATTAGCAAGCATTAGCTAATGCTTAGCATTAGGGAGGAGCACAGATCTCTTCAAGAAAATTGGAGATATGAAGGGAACGTTTCATGCAAAGATGGGCATGATAAAGGACCAAGATAGCAGGGACCTAACAGAGGCAGAGGAGATTAAGAAGAGGTGGCAAGATTACACAGAAGAACTATACAAGAAAGAGCTTAACATCCCTGATAACCACAATGGGGTGGTCACTGACCTCGAGCCAGACATCCTGGAATGTGAAGTCAAATGGTCCTTAGGAAGTCTGAGCAACAACAAAGCTAGTGGAGGAGACAGTATTCCAGCTGAGCTATTCAAAATTCTAAAAGATGATGCAGTTAAAGTGCTACACTCAATATGCCAGCAAATTTGGAAAACTCAACAGTGCCCACAGGATTGGAAAAGGTCAGTTTACATTCCAATTCCAAAGAAGGGTAATGCCAAAGAATGTTCAAACTACAGCACTGGACACGGAACCACTGCTTGGTTCAAAATTGAGAAAGGAGTTCGGCAAGGCTGTATACTGTCGCTCTGCCTATTTAACTTATATGCAGAGCACATAATGCAAAAGGCAGGGCAAGATGAATCACAAATTGGAATTAAGATTGCTGGGAGAAATGTCAACAACTTCAGATATGCAGATGATACCACTCTCATGGCAGAAAGTGAAGAGGAACTAAAGAGCCTCTTGATGCGGGTGAAAGGGGAGAGCACAAAAGTTGGCTTGAAACTCAACATTAAGAAAACTAAGATCATGGCATCCAGTCCTATCTCGTCCTGGCAAATAAATGCGGGAGAAATGGAGGTAGTGACAGATTTTATTTTCCTGGGCTCCAAGATCACCACAGTCAGTGACTGCAGACAAGAAATTAAGAGATGCTTGCTCCTTGGGAGGAAAGCTATGGCAAATCTAGATAGCATACTAAAAAGCAGAGACATCACCCTGCCAATAAAAGTGCGTATAGTCAAGGCTCTGGTTTTCCCATTTGCAATATATGGCTGTGAAAGCTGGACCATAAGGAGGGATGAGCGCCGAAGAACTGATGCCTTTGAATTATGGTGCTGGAGAAGACTCCTGCGAGTCCCTTGGACTGCAAGATCAAACCAGTCAGTCTTGGAAGAGATCAATCCTGACTGCTCTTTAGAAGGCCAGATACTGAAGATGAAACTTTAATACTTTGGTCATCTAATGAGAAAGAAGGACTCACAGGAGAAAAGCCTAATGCTGGGAACAATAGATGGCAAAAGGAGAAGGGGACGGCAGAGAATGAGGTGGCTAGATGGACTCACTGAAGCAGTCACCGTGAGCTTAAGTGGACTCCGGGGGATGGTGGAGGACAGGAAGGCCTGGAGGAATGTGCGCGATAGGTCGGACACAACTTAGCAACAACAACAACAACAGTAGAACATTACATTTCAACATCAAGAAGCATTTTAAGAACCTAGCCAGTCTATACACACAAAGTGAAATATTCCAGGAATTTTCTCCATCAACATGATACTGCTTATGCAAGCAATCTCCCTAGATAAGCTTCTAAAAACACAAGTCTGCTTTGATTTCTTAGATTAAAAATACCAGTGTATCGTAACAACACAAAATTAGGACATAAGAATATTTTTAATATGTCTAGGACATTTTTCAGGGCAGAAGCCTTCCCAATATGATTTACAATGATAAAAATAAACTAATACAATTTTATTTTTTAAAAATCTAAAAAACAATAACAACATTTGCAAAGGGAAGGTCAGTGAAAACAAGGAGATTTTCAGAGCTTTCCTGAAGGCCTGAAATGTTAGGATATGACTGATCCTTGATTTCATAACCTAGCTAAGGCAATTTGTAATGGCACACTTACCTGTTAAAGGCAAGATTTATTATTTGCAGTTTTGGAAGTGCTTCCATTTCATCAGGCAGTGACATCAAGCTGTTATTTCTAAATTGTAAAAAACAAAAACAATCTAACTCTCCAACCATTATTAGCAACTAAAATTTTAATTTAATCATTTTCCAGTGTGTAAGTTGTAAACAAGTTGTATGCTTAAAGCCAGATTATAAAATGATTTTAAATTTTAGAAAATGTTTTTGCTTTCATAAATCAGTAGAACTCTTGGGATCTTTTCTAACACAGACTGTGGACTATTTTCTCATGATAAATAACCTACATGAGAATACTTCACATCTATAATCACTACAACTGAATGAATGCATATGAGTGCAAACAGAAATTCCATACGCAGGAGCAACATGTTTCTGACTATCAGCTGTTAAGAGTAAAAAATGTGGTAGATGGTTGTTTTCATGCCCTGATTGTGAGCTTCCAAGAAGCATCCAGCTCACCTCTGTTGCAAAAAGTGCCATCTTGGATACTCTGATCCAGCAGGACACTTCTTATCACATGCCACATAACAGTGGCATGCCCCACCTGGCAATTCCAGCTGTGTTTACTTACCAGTAACATACATATTCATTATATAGAACAATATGCAGGTAAGGTTGTAACTTTCTATATAAATCCTGGCTTATGTACTACAACCCAGAGTATGGTTGCCTTTGAATTGTGGGTTGTCCTTATACATGAACCCTAATGTATGCTTTTACTATTGATTGTTAATTTAAAACAATCCAGGAGGAAATCCATGATTTGTTGTTGGAGCTTTGTAGTTAACAAATTACAGTTTAACTATAGTATAAGATTCATATGTAATAACAATCCAAAATTCAACAACAATCTATACTCTGTCTTTATATATTTGAACTGGATCTATGAAAATGTACTGAAGAGATAGTGGAGCACATTCAGTAATTCTAACAAAATGATCCACTGGGTCACTAGATCAGTTTACAGAGCAGGGAATCTATTTAAACTGATCTATTTTCACTGTAGAAATAAGTTCATAAACCATGATTACAGAAAAAAGATCAAATATGACTATTTGATTATTATTTGAATTTGAGTTATTGGAATTATTATTTGAATATTAGCTTAGCAAGCTAGATCTTAACTGTACTTTACTCTTGCACAAAAGCAAATTGGCTCAAATCTCCAACTATTAATGTTTGCCTTCACTTCCAGAACAAAAGTGGCATTAACCGAAATGGAGTGCAGACATCTGGATATACAAATGTTAAGAACAACAAGGGACAGGAAGACAGACAGATGGAAGTAAATGGCAATTGTCCATCTTTCCTGAAGGACTACAAATTATTATTATTATTATTATTATTATTATTATTATTATTATTATAACATTTCTATGCCGCCCCTTGCCGAAACCTCGGGGCGGCTTACAACATGATAAAATACATTGAAATACAATAGTACATAATAAATTACCATTAAATATAAAAATACAAAAAATACATTGATTTACAAATACAAAATTAAAATTATCAGTATAAAATAAAAATATAGGATGAGAAAGAGAAGGAAGAAGAAGTTGCCCAGGCCAGATCATATGTTTTAACAATTGAAATGATGTTTAAATAAAAAGTTCTTTACCTGGCGCCGAAAAACCAGTAGCGACGGTGCCAGGCGGACCTCTTTGGGGAGTGAATTCCATAGGTTGGGCGCCACCGCAGAGAAAGCCCTCCTCCGGGTACTTACTCTCCTAATTTCTTTCATGGAGGGTTCCCGGAGAAGGGACTCTCCCGCAGATCTCAAAGGGCGGTCGGGCATATAGGGACGTAAGCGCTCGTTCAGGTAGCCAGGACCCAAGCCGTTTAGGGCTTTGTAGGTCATAATCAACACCTTGAATTGGGCCCGGGCTTCAATGGGAAGCCAGTGAAGCTGACGGAGGACTGGAGTCATGTGAGCATAACGCCCCGTCCCCGTCAGCAACCTGGCAGCTCTATTTTGTACCAACTGAAGTGTTCGGACTGTCTTCAGGGGAAGCCCCACGTAAAGCGTGTTACAGAAGTCTAGGCGGGAAGTCACCAGCACGTGTGTCACTGTCGCCAGGCAGTCGTACTCCAGGTAGGGGCGCAGCTGATTAATCAGCCGAAGCTGAAGGAAGGCGTTCCTCGCCACCACTGTCACCTGAGCTTCCAAAGAAAGCTCCGGGTCGAGGAGTACTCCTAAGCTGCGGACCTTATCCCTAAGAGGGAGTGTTGCACCATTCAGGACCAGGTCAAATCCACCCTCTCCGAAACCCGATCCGCCAACCAACAGGACCTCCGTCTTGTCTGGATTGAGTTTCAGTTTATTGGCCCTCATCCATTCCCTTACCTCGGCCAAGCACCGGTTCAACACAGCCACTGCCTCACCTGGATTAGTGGAGAACGAGAGGTAAAGCTGGGTATCATCAGCGTATTGATGATTTCGCAGCCCACACCTCCTGATGACCTCTCCCAGCGGTTTCATATAGATGTTAAATAGCAGAGGGGATAGAATGGAGCCCTGTGGTACCCCATGGCATAGCTGCCATGACGTAGAGACCTGGTCCCCCAGCACTACCTTCTGGAATCGACCGTCGAGATAGGAGCGGAACCACTGCAAAGCAGTGCCTCCAACCCCCAATCCCGCAAGTCTATCCAGAAGGATACCATGGTCGATGGTATCGAAAGCCGCCGAGAGGTCCAGAAGAACCAACAGGGATGTACTCCCCCTGTCCTTCTCCCTGCACAGGTCGTCGTACAGGGCGACCAAGGCAGATTCAGTACTGTACCCGGGTCTGAAGCCGGACTGAACTGGGTCCAGATAATCAGTTTCATCCAAGAGTGCTTGGAGTTGTCCCGCCACCACTCGCTCCAACACCTTGCCCAGAAACGGGATGTTGGCCACAGGTCTATAGTTGGTGGCCATCTCTGGATCCAGTGACGCTTTCTTCAGGACCGGTCGTATTACCGCCTCCTTTAAAGGGGCAGGCACTCGACCCTCCCTCAGAGAAGCGTTAACCACTTCCAAAATCCAGGTCCCAATCCCGTGCTTGGAGTTATTTATTAACCAAGACGGGCAAGGATCCAATAGGCAAGTGGTGGGACGTACTCTTCCAAGCACCTTGTCCACATCATCGGGCCGCAATAATTGAAATTCCTCCAGTAATTTTGGACCAGACGGTGGCATTGGCGACTCCTCAGAGACCTCTGATTCATTAGTGGAGTCCAGCTCGTGACGAATCTGAGGGATTTTCTCCCTGAAATGCCTGGCAAAGTCATCACAGCGGGCCTTTGAGGGTGGCATCGGATCTTCCTTAGGACCCAGGCGAACCAGGCCTTGCACCACTCGAAAAAGCTCCGCTGGACGGCATTGTGAGGAGGCAATGGAAGCGGAAAAAAACTTCTTTTTCGCCGCCTTCACCGCCACAGCATAGGCCCGATAGTGGGCTCTCAAGTGTGTTCGGTCAGATTCATCCCATGATTTCCTCCACCTACGCTCTAGCCGTCTCCCAACTCGCTTCATCGCCCGTAATTCAGGTGTATACCAAGGGGAAGAGCGGACTCTGCCCGGTGGGAGAGGACGCTTAGGAGCGATCGTGTCCACGGCCCTGGTCATCTCTCCGTTCCACAGTTCGACCAGAGCCTCGACAGGAGCACCAGTCTTGTCAGCCGGAAACTCCCCCAGGGCCTTCAGGAATCCATCCGGATCCATCCGGCTCCGGGGGCGGGCCCATACAATCGGGTCCGCACTCTTATAGAGGGAGAGGCCGCTCTCGAGCACAAACCTCACCAGGAGGTGATCTGACCATGACAGGGGAGTCAAACATAAGTTCTTCACCCTCAGGTCATCCTCTACCTGCCCCGTCGTGAATACCAGGTCCAGAGTGTGTCCATGTTCATGGGTCGGGCCAATGACGTGTTGAGACAGGCCCATGGCCGTCATAGAGGCCATGAAGTCCTGAGCTGCCCCGGTCAGTCCAGACTCGGCATGGAGATTGAAGTCCCCCAGGACCAACATCCTGGGGGTCCTCAACACCAGGTCCGAGACGGTCTCTGTCAGCTCAGATAGGGAGACTGCTGGGCAGAAAGGTGCACGGTACACCAATAGAATCCCCAATCTGTCTCGTTCGCCCAACACCAAGTACAGGCACTCCAGCCCTGGTCTCAAAGGGACCGGAAGACCCGTGAGAGAGATGGAGGCTCTGTAAACCAACGCGACTCCCCCTCCCCTCCCTTCTGGGCGTGAACAGTGTTGAACCAGATACCCGGGCGGGCACAGTTGGGAGAGGGCAACATCCCCTCCCTCTCCCACCCAGGTCTCCGTTACGCAAGCCAGGTCGGCCCCCTCATCCACAATCAAGTCATGGATGAGGGAAGATTTATTATTGACCGACCTGGCATTGAGCAGCAGCACCGTCAGACCCGAGGGATGGTTGACAAGGCTACCTGGCGCCCTCTGGTTGGGGGCAGGATCAGAAGGAGGGACAGGTGTCAGCCATCTGTCCATCCTTCTTCTACGTGCACACGTTAAGCCCCTATTGTTGTAACGACCATTGCCCATGACCACGCCAATAGCAGCCCCCGTGGGTTCCCCAGGATATATAAACGTCGACATGGCCAGGAATGACTGAAAGCACTGATTAAAGCAGGGTAAGATTATAAAGTAGGTCGAAGGAGGAGAAAAAGAATGATAAAAAGAAAAAAAGAGATCCTTCCTCTTCCCTGAGAATATGGAAGTCAGACAGAAACATCTTGGTTAGTTCAGCATAGTACATGAAATATGCCACAGAAGTGAATCATTTACAGGAAAAACTAGATCCAAACCCCTCTCCGGCATAAAAATACTCAGCTCAAAAGAGACCTACATAGATTGCAGCTTAAGCAGAAGCCAGCCTATTAGTAGTAACTTGTGAGTTGCTAAGTATTAGGCTGCAAAAAAACTGTTTATTAGAGTCCCTTGTGAGGCTCATACATAAAGTGGGACATTGTTTAATACAAGGGCCACCAATTGTACAACTGTCTCATTCCTTCTTTGGATCTCAGCCATGTTATTCTCAAATTGATTTGGCCAACACTCATGCATTCAAGTCTTCTTGAAGGACAGCATTTCTCAATCACTTTACCTCCATATCTATTTAGCAGCATAGTGACAGTATGGCCTTTGCTATTCTTTAAAAGTCAAAGTTCTCAAAAAGTATTCTTGGGCTTGCAGCAAACATGTTGGCTCTGAACTGGCTAACATGTAACCAATTGCTGCATTTAACAAATGAATTCTAGGATGTCTTAGGAAGGAAATTTTAAGTAATCACGTACCTGATATCCAAATGTGTCAGTCTGTGAAGCACACAGAGCTCCAAGGAAATAGAAGAGAGCTTATTGAAACTAAAATTAATATCACAGACTGATTCTTTTAGTTCCACAATTCTGCAGATAATAAAAAAACCTTGTCAATGATCTGCAGCATTTAAAGCTATTTCAAAAGATCACTGATAAAGCCAAACTGTATTTTACCCATCACAATTTTATAACCCTACACAAAGTTATCCTCACCTACAGCTAGACTTGGCTACAGAAATGTAATCCTGTCCGAGAAAAATCAAACAAATTCTGATTGAGAAAAGGGCATGGACAGCTGCTGTTAATTATTACATTTTACTACTGAACAGGGAAAACCAGTTATTTTATTTCATTCACTTATAATGCATAATAATAATGTGCTATAAATGGATGGCTATTGTTATTATACTATGGCATTAAATAACTGACAGTTTAACATAAGAAGCCCAAATAATGGTCTGAAGATAAATGTTTTATAGGTCAAATTAAGCAGTTCTAGTGCTGAAGGCTGCCTGCATGGAAAAGCACCTGACAGCAAGCATAAATATTGCTCCTTTTATTTATTAGATTTATATCCCCTTTTCTTTGTTAAAGAACTCAAAGCAGCTTATATCATTCTTCTCCTGCTGCTCTCAATCTTATCCCCACAACAACCCTGTGAGGTAGGTTAGGCTGAAAGCCTGTGACTGGCCCAAAGTCATCCAGTTGGCTGGATGGCTCAGCAAGAAGTAGAACCCAGATCGCCTGAGTCCCAGTCCCATACTCGTAACCACTACACCACACTCACACTTTGTACCGTTTGAACTGGGAACATGGATTTTTTAAAATCTGTATTATTGTTATTATTGTGCTGTGGGCTGTTCAGACAGCCCTCTGGCTATGGGGTGGCATACACATACAATAGACAGACAGACAGACAAAGAGAGAGAGTTGAAACCAACAATCTCCCATTTCTAGCAGGTCCTGCTGGCCAAGCAAAAATCTCCATAGAAGCCTCTACCTCATGCCTTTCCTAATAAAGCAGCAGTGGAGGGGAAGCTCTCCAGTTTGAGCAAAGATGCTTGGAGTGGCCTTGGAACACTCTTGGCCAGCATTACTCTCAGCATATCCACTGGGAAAGACCTGTAGGACAGTGGACTTCTGTGCAATGCTAGTCATGTGTTCCAAGTGCCTCTGACCAGCAGTGCCAAGATCTGCGAGTCTTTCCCAAAAGAAAAGATGGAAGAGACTAGCTGCTTGAAAATGTTCTCAGTGCTTCCAACAACCATGGCCCCATGCAGTTACCCAATGGGAAAAGCCAGCAGAAGCATGGTTGTGGTGGTGATGACAAATGGAGACACATTACAGGCCTGCTAGCAATGGCATCCAACAAACCCCATAGGTCTTCACTTACCGGAAAAGTCAACAAGAGATAAACAGTGCAGCATGCAGGAGTAACAAAGTCTCTGAGGAATAGCAGACTCTTTTTTAAATCTGGCTTTCCTATTCCAAAGCAGGAAAGGTTGGGGGAAGGGCCCTACAGGCTCTGCTTGTCACACCCACCAAAGGCAGTGTCATACTTGTCACAGCAAACAGATTTGTGGAAGGTTGCTTTAAACTATAGTTTGTTAAAAGAAATCAGGGCTGTTTTGGCTTTCTTCATCAGGCCATAGTTAAATTAATCAACATTTGCCTTTTTTGACCATAAGAAGAAAACGGTGGTTATTTAAAGGCAGAAAGCAGACACTTCTGCACTATCCACTGCAGATGTGCAAAAGAAGGAGGGAGACAGCAAGTGATTTTTATGTCCAAACCCAGTCAACCTCTTGTTAATATACTTAAATAACACAATGAACAAAGACTTTCAGATCTTGGGTTATATCCTAACATGCAAACAGGACTGAGTGGTATTTTTCCTCCTATACCTGAAACATGCATATAAAATTTACATTAAAATAAAAAACAGCAGAATTAATATTGTAGCAAAAATACATTACCTTACTGGAATCTCCACTAGATTATTCTTGCTGAAATTTACAGTGGTGATGGGATTGCTCCCAGCTGCATCCAGTACTTCATCTGGAATTACAGCCGCCTGTTTCCCACTAAACAATGTTTGAAAGTCATTTTATTTAGGAGAAGGATAACAATTAACTATTTTATTTGCTAGAGTATTGTGATTTTAAAAACTCATCAAAAATAAAACCAGAAAAGTACTGGGCTCCTATAAATTCCTTTTCAGTGTAACTCATTTGTACTTATCAATGGGATAAGACTGGGAAACCAAGTCAAACATTCTACAAAGAAAACTTTTTAAAACGAATGAGATGTGAAGTAATTTTTCTATTATTAACAACAAAAGGTATTTTATTTTACACAAAGTCTACTTGAATAAAAGCCTATGTGCTTGCTGAAGGAAAGGCAGTAGAGAGGAACTGAAGCAAGTCTTCCTCAGATTGGGACAGTCTGGGAGAGGCCTCTAAGAATGATTCCCCACCTCTCCTCTCGGTAGTAGTATCCCAAGATGGCTGTCTCCCAAAGATCCAGGCAGGCTCATATTGGAGAAAGAAGTCTGTTGTAGCAAGGGCTTCATGTGCTCCCTATAACTGGTCCTGATCAACAGTTTTTAAAGGAACCCCCCACTACTGTAGTAGTAGTAGTAGTGGTGGTGGTGGTAGTAGTAGTAGATGATGGCTAGGCCAGACATCTCTATGAACAGATACAGTAAGCATATTAGCTTAAGCTGTGCAAAAACACTCCGGGTCACCACCAAAATCTGGGCATCCAAATTCAGGGCTGAGTCTGAGGGTACATCTAAACATCAAGCTCAAACCTTCTAGGATGTAACCCCATGCAGCACAGGTTGTGTTCCTATTCTTTTATCTTTTCACTGACTGGGAACACGCATGTCTTGTCTGGATTAAGCTGCAATTTGCTTACTCTTAAGCAGTCCATTGCCAACTTCAGACACCAGTTTAATATGAGAACTATTCCTGAATTAAGAAGAATAGCAGAAACATAATTGGGAGTCATCGGCATATGGAATCCCCAAACTCAGAAAAATCATTCCCAGTGGTTTCATGGATATGGAGAAGAAATGGAGCCATGCCACTGAACAGGAATCTTGCACTGGAACTTCCTGCTATTGCCCCTTCAAGAATAATAGGATCTATTGTACAAGAATGCCTCCCAGGACCATTGCAGACAGACATCCCAGAAAGGAATCATGCTCAGTGCTTTGGGCACAAATACTGTATATAAATGCTGTGGACAAACAAACTTTTGTTAAAGTACACAAGTTAACTCATTCCAAAAGGAGAGTAGCCGACCAGGGAAAAAGGCAAGTTGCATACCAGTAACTTTTGTTCTTTGAGTGGTCATCTGCACATTCACACATATGGGCACTGTGCCTGCACAAAGCCACTTTTGGGAAGATTTCTCTACCCTAGCCTAGAACTTTCCACAGGAGCCCTGCCTCCCCTTCCCCGCTATATACAGGTGGGCTCCATCATTTTTTCAGTCCCACTTGAGACTGACATTTGCCCTAGTAGAATGTCCCTAACCCACCTATTGTTATGTAAAATGGGAGTAGATAATTGAAGATGTATATAATAATATAAATATATTATATTGTGTGTACGCGTGTGTGTACATATGTCCACTGACACCAATGTGGGGCCGGCAGGTGGGTTGTGTGAATGCCCTGATCACCACTTGAAGAATGACAGTTACAGGTATGCAACCTGCCTTTCTACATCATAGTCTCTGTGTATCACATATATGGGTGACTTGCAATCATACCTTAGATAGTGGTGGGAGGTGTCATTACACCAATTTATAACTCAGCACAGACAAAGAGTAAGGAATTATTTCATGTCCCACCATTCAGTCATTGTTAGACAAACTTTCAGTCATTACTGCATAATTTAAAACAGTCAAACTTGACCCAATGTTCAATCATTAGCAAAAAAATGGAGGATAATACAGCCTGTCCGAAGGAGCAGTCCTGTCTTGGTCTGACATCCAGTCTATAGTGCTGAACAAATGTACAGTGTTGCCCACACTGTTGCTCTACAGAGAGCATCTACAGGAAATCCCACATGGAGGACTGCTGATGTCGAGAAAGCTCTAGTGGAGTGAGCCTTTGGTTGATCTGGCAAGCCTAAAGATGACAGTTGGTAAGCTAATCTGATGTTTTTGATGATCCGCTGTGACAAAGCGGTTTTTCCAGGTCTCCCTTGGAACAGACCACATACATCACGAAGGGATGTTTTGTCTAACGAATGGCCTCAGTTCAGGACCAACAGAACTCTAATGCATGACAGACATTGATGGTATGGAGTACTCTTTCACTGTCTGTAGAAGGAGACAGGTAGAAGGCTGGAAGAACAATCTCTTGATTGATGTGAAAGGATGAAGAGACTTTAGGGCTCTTCATCCTTTCAAAGGGTCAGTACAGAGAACAACTTTTTCTCTTTGAAAAATTAATTAAGATGTGTCTATTCACAGTGCACAGAGTTCACCTGCTTGGTGAGCTGAAGTGATGGCCATGAGGAAGGAAACCTTCCAGGATACCAGCTGTAAATCAATAGTTGTGAGTGGTTTGAATAGTGGTTTCGTTAATGCATGCTGACAGACTCCAGGCAGGAATGATGGCTGGGATGGGAGGGTGCAGTTTTTTTAGTCCTTTCCTAACACACCATGAAAGAGGATGGGAAAAATGAAGTATCTCTCTGTAGGACCACGCAAGGCAGAGACTGCCGATAAATATATTTTTATGAAGTTGGCTTCAGTCTTGATAGATGGAGGGAGTGTAGGAATTGCAGAATGAGTGCAGCCTTGCATAATTGCTGAATTTTGCCCACTTGGTAGCATAAGACCATCTGGTTGTGGGACATAGTCAAAATGTCCTGTATTCAAGGATCCAAATCTGCCACTCCGGCCATAAGGTAGTCATGCTGAATCCCTATGAGCATAGAGGCTAAGGATTGAGGCAGGCATATCAGTTCTTTCGGAATGGAGCTGGAAGCATAGCTCCAAGATAGGTAATCTGCTGGAATGGAGGTGGAGGTTGGAATGGAGTTTGGAATGGAGCTGGAGCTATGGATCTGAGGTAGGAAATCCATCCGAACAGAAATGGGTGTACTGGAACAAGGTAAATGTTCCACTGAAACAGTGAGTTCAGAAGACTGACTTGGTATGGTAGGTGAGACCATTACTATATCCGCCAGGCTGTCAGACGGAGTGTCTGGAGTATCTTTCTGCAAGCCTGAGACAGCAAGTTGGGTATAAGTGGTAAATGTTTGAAAGCCCTATTGGAGAACTTCAGAATAGACAGCAACCAAGGCTGCCTTGGCTACCACAGAGTGAATAAGAGGGCCCGTCTGCATTCGGTTGTCATCTTTGCTATAGTCCTCATGATGAGAGGAAACAGTGGGAAGGCATAAAGCACGGCTCCCATCCAAGGCAGGAGAAAGGCATCTCCTTTCAAGAATTGGTTGATCCTGGCTCTGGAGCAGTAGGCTTTGCAAGCCACATTCATTTGTGTGGCAAACAGATCCACCGAAGGAGTGCCCCATGTTGAGAAGATGTCTTTGCGAATCCAAGGCTTGAGCTCCCATTCATGTGTTTGGTTTGAGGTTCAGCTCAAAGCATCTGCAGTCACGTTGTCCATTCAGTCATGTTAATAGTGACCAGTGCCATGCTGTGTTGGATGCACCATTCCCAAATGTGGAGAGTCAATTGTGATGATGACTTTGTTTCACCTTGGTTGCTTGTTACATTTGTGTAGAACACAGCAATGGTGTTGTTGCAGACAACTTGTACATGCCTGCTGATTCAGAATTTTTTGGAACACCAGGAGACCTTTGTAAACCACTAGGAGCGCCAGGTGATTGATATGGAGCTTCTTCTCTAGGACAGTCCAAACTCCCTATGTCTGGTAATTGTTGGAATGGGCACCCCAACCAGTGAGAGATATGTTGATAGTCAACGTGGCTGTTGGTTCGTCGGTCAGAATGGTAATCCTCCTGAGAGGTTGAGCTTGTGTGTCCACCAAACAATACTTGCACGTACTTGGAGTGGTAGAGTTAATGTCTTCCTTGGTGAATTGTACCCTGGCTGAAATGTTTTGTTGAACCATAGCTGCAGTGGCTGCATCCACCGCCTGGCAAACTGGACCACTGAAATGGCTGATACCATTTGCCCTAGAAGCTGTTGAATCTTCCGAGCATACACATTCATTTTGGTTCTGATATCTGAAGCTGCAGTTATGAGTTTGTCCATATGGTCCCTGGGCAAGCATGTTCAAGCTGAGTTGAGAACTGCTCTGATGTACAGAATGCTTTATGCAGGGACAAAAATAGATTTTTCCAAATTAATGCATAATCCCAATCCATTAAGGACAATCCAAGCAGTTTCAATGGCCTGTATAACATTCGTTTTGCTATCTGCTATGAGAAACCAATCGTCCAGATACAGGTAAATGTAGATTCCTTGTAATCTTAAGCAAGTGCACACACACCAGAGCCATACATTTGGTAAATACTCTCAGTGCCATGGAGAGATCAAATGGTAGAACTGTAAATTCATAGGCTTTGGTACAGATCTGGAAATGCAGAAAATGACTGTGGAAATAAGCATCCTTTAAATCTATAAAAGCAAACCAGTCCTCTTTTATCAGTAGTGGCATTTTGGACTGGAGAGAAACCAGTTGGAACTTTTTAAGTGTAATAAATCAGTTTACTTCTCACAGATCTAATATTGGCCACTGACTGCCATCATATTTAGGATTGGTAAAATACTGTAAATAGAAAACACACTTAGACTCAGATCGGTCTACTGGATGGATTGTTCCTTTTGCTAGTAAACTGCAGACTTCCTCCATTAATGTTGAAGAGGAAGAATATGGACTGATCCAAGAGATGGGAAGGTCTCACATTCTATTTTAGAGCCATAACATACAATGGAAAGCACCCATTTCCCAGATTCCCAAGTGGGTGCGTAACACCTTGAGCAGTCTCCAAATGGGCAGATGAAATTCTCTAAGGGACCGGATCGCACTGACTGTCAGCACTGACTCTTATCCAATTCAAGGCATTTCTTGGGTGGTTGGGTTCAAGCACCATCCAATCAACATGGGCAGCCCTGAATCCACCCATATGGAGGACAAGTGAAAAAATATGTCTGTTGCCTGGCTGAAGGTGCTTGGTAATGAGCAGGCTGACCCCATGGCCTATGGGGTCTAGACGTGCCCTAAACTGGAGTGCTCTTATTCCCATCCATCGAGCAGTCACCCTAGCCTTTTGGATGGAATCAAGGCATTCATCAATACAAACATGGAAGAGGCCCTCTCCGTCAAAGGGCACGGACTCTATGAATGTGTCTCCTGGGGAAGAGACACATTGGCCACCCAAAACCATGAGTGTCAATGAATGGCCACTGCACTGACTAGGGCCCTGGAATCTCAGTCAACATGATGGTGTGCAATGGCAATTTGTTGTTTTGACAGCTGCATGCCTTCAGCTAGGAAGAGACTGGCTAGCTCCTGTTGTTGATCTGGAAGGAAAGCAGCCAGAGCCTCCATCTTCTGTAACGAAAAGGCCAGGAACTTCCCCATCATGGCTTTTTAACTGGAGATGCTGAGGCCCAGATCTATTGCCAAGTAGATGCAGTGCACCATCACATCAAGTCTTTGACCCTCTCTGTCCATCAGTGTAGTATGGTCTCTGCATGGGCGACCTTGGGTGGACTTGAAAATCATGGAGTTCAGGCAGGGGTGGTGTAAGAGGTAGGGAATGTCTCATTCCCGGACATAGTACATCCATTCTAGAAGTTGAATACGGCTAGTTGGGGATCTCCCAGGGTTCCTTCATGGCCTTGGACAAAGCTGGCATGAAAGGTATTTTGATCGGAACAGTGTCCTCCATACAGATGATGTTGCATACTATGTTCTCAGTCTGTTCTGTAGACTGCTGCACCTGGATGCCCAAAGACATGGTCATCCAGAGGACCTGTTCTGAAAAATGTCCAAGGCTCTCCCCTGGGGATCCCAGGCCCTGGAATGAGACAACATTATCTGGTGGAGACTGGTTCTGCAGAATCAGAGGAATCGCAGTCAGAGGCATAGTCCATTTGGTCTGGCCCAGAAAATGAAGAGGGCAGCTTTCAAATGCCTTCCTGAGGCTCATGGGGTTGGGAGGTGCTCAGTTCCTGCTCAGACCAACAAAGTGGTCTTGGAGGTGACCAATGTTCAGACACACTCTGAGGTGGAGCTGGACCCGCAATATGAGGGTCCACTGAAGAATCCCAGGAGTAGCCCTGAAAACAGTATCTTGGGAAGGGGTACCGATATGGGTGTCCCCCAAATGGTTGTGTCATTGGATTGATGCCTGAGATGGATGGGTGTGTAGACATCAGAGAAAGGTGAGAGGATGACAGACCATAAAACAGATGCAGTGTCCGTGAGATTGGTTTAGGCAGTTCTTAATGGCAATGGTGTCAATTCTGAAGATCGAACTGGAGAGTCACAGATCTTGCTGTCAGAGAATGAGGCTGTAACTGGTTGTTTGGGTTCGACGCTATATTCTGATCCAACTGGAGTCAGAGATTGTCAGACGAATCAAAGACGCCCTAGTAGTGATGGTGGAATTGGAGACACCTCTTTGGATGAAGGTCTATGATGTTCCAGGATAGTTGGGGAGTGCTGTTCCAACCATTTACTATGTTCTTTGACTTTGCACACTGTTTTTATTGTTCCTGAACTCTTGAATTTGAGGTGCTTCCTTTTTTCCTTTCCCTTCTTAGGGATCTCTGCATCTGTAGGAGACTCAAAATGGATAGCAGTCAGTTTGGTTTTGGCTGAAGTGCTGGTGGAAGGGCATTTCTTCAAGATCTCTTTTGAGGTGGAACTGTCCCACCCTCCTTCATCTGCCACATCACGCATGGCTCTGAGGGCACACTCCCACATCTCCATCCTTAATCAGCCAGCTCTATTTTTATAAGCCTGCTTCATAAATTGTCAATGTCGGCATTTATTGACACAGTGCTCCTCGCCTAAACAAAACAGGCATAAGAGTGGCCATCAGTAGAAGGCATTATGACGCCACAACTGGTGTACTTTCTAAAGGCTGGTTTGCTAAGAGACATCAGGCAAGAAGAAAAAAGGAGATTGAAGGGAAGGAAAAGACAATAGAGGGGTTAAAAATTGTGAGGAGATATGAAGGTGGTGAGGAAGGGGATTCGAAGACTATAGATAAAGACTGAAAGGACAATGTTAGAAGATTGAGAGATTGGTAAAAGGTCAATAGTAAGAATGGATTGTGAGAGTAAAAAAAAATTGAAAGGGGAAAAACGAATTCTAGAGAACTCAATGCACTTGCAAATAGCGGTCGAAAGCTTACTGAGAAAATGGCAGGAGCCCGCCTATTCATATGGGGTGGGGCTCCTGTGGAAAGTTCTAGGCTAGGCTAGAGAAATCTTCCTGAATGAGGCACTGCACAGGTGCAGCACCTATATGTGTGATGCACAGAGACCACAACGATGAACATGAAGTCCTACAGCTTTTTCTTTACTTACGGTTAATGCATGGTCTTATTAAAACAGATCTGTCGAGGACACATTGTGAAAGAAGAAACCTATGTAAATAGTCATTTTTATGTGTAAATCTATATCATAAAAGGTTAAAATATTCCTACCTATATTCCAATGTTTTCAATACAGTTATAGCATGCATGTTAATCTTTGACTGACTTGGGAGAGTCATTGCATTTGCAGGCAATTCTCCACTGGGACTAACGGCATCATCATCTAAAAAAACAAAAGCAGGTATGTTTGAATTGTGAGAGATGTTCCTTATCTACCTCTTTTTTGCTGGTTTTTTGAATTAAGTATTTCAGTCAACAAGAAATTGCGTAACAGAATGTTGGCTGAATCTGGCTTTGTAATACATCTGGCATCGTGTGACGTCAACAGACTGAAGTGATGTCCATCCATCTTCTGACCAGGTTTCATGTGGCCAATATTTGGCTATGTGATCTCACAAAGCCAATTCAAAGTGGGGAAAGGAAAACATTTCCCCTAACACTTAATAGGTGATGGGCAGGATTAAAATGGGCACAGAACTTTTCACAGTCCAGCCCATTTTAATAGACAAGTGATGGCAAACCTTTTAGAGAACAAGTGCCAAACAGCAACACAAAACCCACTTATTTATTGCAAAGTGCCAACACTGCAATAAAACCTGAAACCTAAGGTTTTAGTGCAGAAAAAACAATTGCCAGCCATTCCAGGCAAATACGTATAGATCCTTGGCAGTGCACTGACAGGCCATGCAAAAGCTTGAGCAAGTCAGGGCTGTTGAGTTGAGGCTCATGACATTATCGCCCGCTGCTGCTACTCCTTTCCGAGCATGTGCATGGCCCCTATGTGCTCAGTCATCCAATACTCGGCTGCTGGGTCAATGCTGGGGTGACTTGCCGTGCATGCTGACAGAGGGGGCTTCGTGCCCACTGTGGCATGCATGCAATAGGTTTGACACAACTGCCCTAACCCTAGCCTGGTGCACAACCCTAACCCTAAGCTAGGGCTAAAGTTCCATTGAAAATAATGCGATTTTGAAAAAGCCTACTTGAGTAGCTTTTTCTACACAGCTCATCCTTTCTGCCCATTCTAAACACATTCCAGCCACCAAAATCATACCAGGACACCTCATTTTTCTCATCCTAACCCAGTGATGGTGAAACTTTTAGAGACCGAGTGTCCAAACTGCAACCCAAAACCCACTTATGTATCACAAAGTGCAAACACTGCAATAAATCTTGAAAACAGCCAGTCCAAGCAAATATATATACATATCTTTGGCAGTGCACTGACCAGCCATGCAAAAGCTCGGATGGGTCACGGCTAATGTGTCGTGGCCTGTGATGTCATCGCCTGGCACCACTTCTTTCTGAGCATGCGCATGGCCCCTATGTGCACTGTCATCCAATGTTCGGCTGCTGGGGTGATGCTGGGGTGACTTGGCTTGCGTGCCAACAGAGAGGGCTCTGGGTGCCCACTGTAGCATGCGTGCCATAGGTTCACCACCACTGTTATAGACCTTTAAACAAAAGGCACTAAAAGCTCAGCTACTTACTTTGGGCTATAGCTGAGATATTATACTACTAGAAACACTGTCAATATGATATTGACTGGCATTTTAAACCAGACAAAATTCTGATTTGGTCATTTAAAATGCTTTGTGGATTTAAGTTCTGTTGAATACTGCCAGGGTTTACCTGTAAAGATAGCTTTAAATTGTTTAGAGAAATAAGCAAACTGGATTTCCACAGGGGATGAACCTACTTGTGAAAGTAGATCCCATTCTGCCTCAGCTATAGTTAATGAAGAGCAGCCCAAATCTAGATAGCAAATTTAGATGCTCAGAGCTTTCCTTTGGAAAATCTCCAAAGATTAAGAGATGCTCTAGATCTTCCAGGTTTGAAAAGGTCATTTATATTTTGGATTACAGTTTTATAAAGTCAAGTGTTAGACTCACTCTATAGGTGACTTAGGTTATCAAAACATACATTTAAACATACTAGGGCCAATGCAGAAAATGACCTTGGTAACACTGCACATCAGCCAACTGTGGCTTAATTACTCTTGATATTGATAGTCCCTTTCCCCTGACTCCATAACGGAGGCTAAGACAACCCTCAAATAACTCCAATCCACTGGTTATTTGAGTCTTGTCTAACCCTCAAACAACTCCTGCCACCTGGATCTACACAGCAAACTATGTGTCTGTCAGCACCATGCACAAATGGTACCTGAAACAATACAATAGCACTCCCTGGAAAATTAAGCTATAGTGCAATTGCTGTGTTGTATGAACCAGTTCAAAAGTTTTAAGTGGACAATTGCATTTTTAGATTGTCCGTTCACATAAATATCTGCTTGTTCAAGGTTTTCCAGATCATAAAGAACTGTGGAGGATATTACTAAAATGGTTAAGCAGAAATCTGTGACTGTATAGCATGTAACACTTCAGCTTTACATTATTTTCATTAAACATATAAAGGATACTAATCACAAAATGGTCTAATCAATAATTTGGAAAGTGAAGCTTGCACAACCATGTGCTAAGAAATATTCACTAGTTCTGCCCTGCCATGTTCACCTATAGAAACTGAATCCTAGCTAAGGAGTCCATTTCCAATTAAATTTTACGCTAGTGCTTTTAGGGTAGAGTGCTGTGCATGTTTAGATGGAAAAGTCCTCCAATTCCCTGCATACTTTTTCCATCTAAACCTTTACAGTGTTCTGCCTTTAAAGTATGCATTACTAAGCCAGACCTTTCAAAAGGTATCTTTGGCTAGCTACGAGGTCCCACACAAATAGTAATATCGTAATACTTAAATACATTGCCTGTGTAAGGAGACAGAATAGAAGACATAAGTATCCTGGGATGCTTGCCCTACCAGTGCTGCCCCATGCGCTACCTGTGATGCTCCATGTGCTACCTGTGAACTCCTTGCAAGCAGGGCAGCTTCCCTGGAAGGAGACTGGGGCTTCCCTGTGTAGCATACCTACAGGGTGTTGCTCCAGCATAGAACAGCAACCAGGCAAAATGCACAGCAGCTCCCATGGTCACTGCTGCTGGAGATGCTCCCTGTCCTCTCTCTCGGCATGTGCTCTCCAATGCCCTCCTTACTGATATGCCCACTGTAATGCCAGCCTTACCTCTCCCCCTTGACACTATGCCTATCCTGAGACACAGGCAAACCAACAAGTCCTTGTCAGAACCTCACAATGGGCATTGCAGTAGGGCAAAGTAAGAAAGGCATGGCAGCAAGACAAAGTGTTGAGTGGCAAGGAGGGGATCAGGGAACACATGCCAGGAAGGAAGACAAGAGCACAGAGACATCCAATCAGTTCCCTGCTGCTGGCAACCTAGCAACTCCTAAGTGGAACAGGCCAGCAGAAAATGGTGGCTTGAGTGACCACTGCCACTGGAACTTGCTGATGAGCTTGCAGAAAAACATGGCAACTGAAGTCACACAGAAAGGACAAACTATCTCCAGCACATCTACTGTGAACACACCAATTACAAATGAAAAATCTAATATCATGGTTAACTCATTCACCATCAAAGAAGGGAACACACATAGTCTGTTCTCAGTCCTGAGAATATTTACTTAGAAAGCAGGAGTACACACACACATATAAATCACTTCCTTGGTAAGTTAAAGGAAGCTCCAGGAATAGCAAGCTACGACACCGAAACACTTCTGCCTGAACTGGATCTTAAAAGCTAGATGGATTTGACATGCAGTAGTAAGCATACCATTGGGGATGAAAAATGGCTGCTATGATAGGAAGATTCAGTGCAGACAAGGGAAGAATAATGAGGTAGATAATAGTACTGCAGACTGAAACCATCTGTGACCACACAATATTGATTGATCGATTGGATTCAAGCCAGAATGAAAGATATTGCTAATCACAATTCCTTTTGTTTCAAAATGCTACAAGATGAAAATAAGCAGGTGAAGAACAGCTAAAGTTGCTTGCTTAATGGTCACTTATTAGCTTCACAGTCAAATGACATTTTGCTAGTTTCAAGGTACCCAATCAGCTATCTAACCAACAATTGTTGGGATTTAATATCATTATGAACATGTGCTGTAAAAAGTGTTGAAATGTATAAAAAAATTGGGGGAACATTTTTTAAGGGAGAGGACACAACTCTTAAACTTATTGAGTCCTTCAGCTATAGTCACAGGTGACTTTATGCATACCCAAAGCAGACTTCTGCTTTTCCTTTGGAAAGCCAGACTGCCTTTGAAATTTCCCTAAGTTTCTAAAGCAGCTTGCCACATGTCACAAGGGGCTGCTGAATGAACTAGGCTATGATTAAGTAAATTTTGCCATGACAATATCTGTACCTTTCATCATCAAGCTTATATTATGCTGCTGCTGAACTATTAACAGATATCTAGACACCAAATAATTCTTTGGGACTCGTGGATCTCCAGCTTCTTGGTTTATTAACAGAGAACTAAGAGTCTTCAACTCAATTAGGATCTGTTAACAAGAAATGCACTTTAATAGATACTAGTGAACTACCTGCAATTACCTGGAACTTAGGAAAAGGCACCATCTAAATAAATAGATACAAAATAAATTGGATCCCTAGTCATTAAAAAACTAAATAAAAAACAGCAGGAGAAAGATGAATGGACATTAATCTAATTAACTATTACTATCCCAGGGGTTTCCTTAGCTGGAACTTTTAATTCACAAAGAAAATGTTTACCTTGTATTTTACTTCTAAGATATTTCAGAATTTCTTGTGTCCCTTTCTAATGCAGAAGAACACAGAAAAAGTTTGTCAGTTACGTCTTTTGTTATACAGGTGTAGAAATAATGTAATATGTAAAGTATATATACTTACTTGTAGAACATCCCTTCGAACTGTTCTTAAAGGATTTCCTTCCAATGCCAGGAACTTCAGCTGAGAAAGGTTTCCTACCTTATAAGGAAGGCTGCCAAAATAAAGTATTTTTAAAAAATTATCTCAATCAAACCCACAAAATATAACAATATTCAGTCCAATTTCCCAGTATTCTGAAACTTAAAATTATATTTTTCATGCTTCACCATTATTTATAAATACAGTTTCTCAATAAAAAGTATGTTTTTATTTTCAAAATTCAGTAATCCTATAAACCTGGATTCCATATTCCAATGCAAGGAAGGTTATTGTTTATGTTTTCCTACCATAATAGACTATGGTCTTACCTATTGATATCATTGTTGGATAGATCTAGTCGTTCTAATCCCTGTAATAAAGTAATTTCATCAGGCAAACATTTCAGCTTATTATCTCTAAGTTCTAATACACACAAGGAACTCAAGTGCTTTAGGTGTTCAGGTCTTAATTCTTCAATCTGATTTTCACCAAGATGCAATTCCTAAAAGGCAAAAAGGAAACATAACCATCAAGTCTGTCAAGATACATGAATCTCAGAAAAGACAGAGTATGGAAGTAGTCCCTGAATTTTACCACAACATTTCCAGAAGAAAACTTTTTTTAATGTCAAGCATTTCTCCTGCAGGAAGTCTGTAGTAACCTTGTAGACAGTTAAGCATGCAATCCTATACAAATTTAGACAGAAATCAATCATACAGCTTCCAGCATTCCCCAACTAGGTTTATGCCCTAAAACACTACTGCTGCTGTATCGCAGAAACTGACTTGAAAGTAAACCACATTAACTCAGTAAAATTAATTTCTTTGTAGAGAAGAATCAAACTACTATCACAGAACTTACTAAATTCTAATAATCTTATCTGCCATTACAATAAATTATATCCATATTCTAAAAATAAATCCAGTAGGACCGTTTCCAAGTCCCCCAGTGGATACCTGAAACCATGGATAGGAGCGAACACTATCGTCCATGGACCAGCACCGGATTGCAGGGAACTTCCTATAGGTCCATGGGGGAGCTGCATCCCACTTGCTGTGGACCAGCACAGGGGATGGCCGTGCTCTACCTCCTCTTCCTCAGTTGGCATCGTGTTTGTAGGAGATGCACCAGTGCCACAGGTGAGGGGGGCAGGAAGGGGAGGGACAGCTTGGTGGGAGCCGGCTGGGAGCCCCGCTATGCCGGGGCTATTTTGGTTTTTTTGTTGGCATTGTTTGTTTGTTTCTGGTTGTTTTGGAGAATTTTCATTTTTTGGTATGGTGTTTGGAAACTAATATACAGAATACCGTATTATGTGCATGGTGCTTTTTGTTTCTGCCCTGCTGAGGCAGTTTTCCTGTTTTTGCTGGTCCCCAGCTGTGGAAAGGTTGAAAACCACTGCTATATACAATTAAACCTTGACTTTTGTGGATTTAACTTAGATTTGATTATTCATGAGTTTTCCATCAATAATTAAATGGATTTTTTTGTGGAGTTTTGTGGCCTACTGCACCATGGGTTGGACTAGAGGGAGGAAAGCAGCAAAGGCAGTGCTGTGTCTCTCTACCGACGGCCCACATGAAGAACACTTCCATTCTTGGCCACCACTGTGCATGGTGTGGAATGGTGTGCCCCTCCTGCCCCCCCTCCCCCCAGCAAGGGCAGGGTGGGAGCCAGACTCAGGACTGGGCATGTGGCCAGCTCATCGAGTCTTGTTCTTGGACTGCAGCAGTCAACCATGGTTAAGTGAAAGCACAGTAACTGAAACAGCAGATAGGAAGTTTTACTGTATTTAACTTTTTTCCCAGAATGTGGATGGACATACAACATGTGCATGTGTCACATTACTCTGCCCTTAAAGCATGCTGTTTGAAAGTATCACGTAAGGCTGCAAGCTATACATTACTCAGTGGAGCTTACTTCTGTGTTGACACATAGAGGACTGCTTTATAGGTGGCTAAATACATGCAGCTGGACAACCTGTATGCCATACTGAGTTCCCAGTGCCACAGACCAAAATCAAGTGAAGCCTCTAATCTCAATACCTAGTTAGATAAACTCAGCTTTTAGCTCAGTTTCATTAATATATATGTTTAATGTACATGATTAATCTAGCCATGCTTACTTATTCCTTATTCAGTCTGGACTACTGTAATGCGAGCTATGTGGGCTGCCTTTGAAAACCATTCAGAAATGCCAACTGGTCCAGAATGCTGTGGCTAGGCTTTTAACTGGAGCCCATTGCAGGGAGCTTGTTCACAGGGCCACACTTGTTACAAAAGCTTTACTTTGCTTTCTGCAACAGTTTAACAGCTTTGTTAAAGTGCTGGTTATGACCTGTAAAGCCCTGCACAGCTTGGGACCAGGCTACCTGAAGGTCTACCTTCTCCCATATAAGGCAGTCAGGTTTAAGATCTTTGAGGGAAGCCCTCCTCTCAGTAATACTGTCTTTGGAGTCACATTTAGTGGTGACTTGAGGGCTTTCTCACAGTGGCTGCTACTGAGCTCAAGAATACATTCTCAGGGAAAGTCCAGATGGCTCCTTGTTTTTCTTCCTCCAACAGGCACATCTGTTTTTATTCAAGCAGACCTTTTGTATATTGACCGGTACATTGGATTGAGTACTGATTTACTCTGTTATTGTTGTCTTTAACTGCTTTACATTATAATTCTTACTATGTTTTAATTTCTTATGATTGTTAGCTACTTTGAGCTGTATTTTCTTGATGGAGAGTTAGGTTACAAATATGCTGAAAGGTCATATAATGCTGGGGATTTTTACCTCTCAGGCTGTAGACAGAGTTAGGATTATACAGCTAGGATGTCAGCAGTTAAAATTCCTACTCAGATCTTCACGCCTTTCCTGGCCTCAGCCATCACAAAAAGTGCCAAGCTGACTGCTCTCTTCTGAGGTCAGTGGCACAACCTTGGAAGGAGATAGGTAGAGAAAACTGAATGTGTGCAAGGGGGCAAGGAAGGAGGGAGGAGAGACCAGGGTCTTTAGGGTCAAAAACTTGTCAAGCTCCCTCTGCATTCTAGGCAGTACAAGTCCACTAAATTGTGGAGATCCACCTAGAGAAAAATGCTGAAAAGGAGGACAAAGGGTCAATTACCTCCTCTGTCATTCTGCCTTGGTGGCAGCAGCCAGCAGAGCTTAGGATTCCAGAAGCCTCCAAAACCTTTAGGCTTCCATCTGGCAGGATTGCTCCCTTAATTACAAGAAACATTTAACTACAATAGCATAAGAAAAATCTATGCTTCGATACCACAATCCATTAATGCACACACAAACATCAAAATGACAGAGAACAAATCTTACCTTTAAAGATGTACATGAAGGAAGGTCTAGGAAGTAGCACAATTTGTTTCTCCTTAAATAAAGTTGTTCTAATGAAGCCATGTTGCCTAGTTCAGGAGGTATAGTTTCCAAGTAGTTTTTAGTACAATCAAGCTGTTTTAAACCTATAGGATGTCAAGGTATATATATCTATATTAGAACTGCAATCAACTGTGTGGCTTTACTGACACACATATACCAGTATATTTTAAGAAAAAAAATAAGCTTCTAAAAGGGGGTTAAATGTTTGGTGTCCAAGCCAGATTGAATAGGGAATGATTCACAAGTGTGCAAATAAGATTTTGACACTGGCATTTTAGGCAACAGAAAAAAGAGTGGTGGCTTCAGTTAAATCAACAATACAAGGCTATGATATATTCAGCTGGGTATAAGTGCAGATTTACATTACATGAAAATAAAGTTCCTTAAAGAGAAGGAGAATGGCAATGTAATTTTCAAACCATGTTCTAGAAAAACCCATCTACCCCCCACCCCCAGAAAACAAATATAAGCTTATCAAGGATTATTTCAAAACTTCCTTACTTTTCATTGCACTGATTTCTGATGGTAGAATCCTCAACTGATTACAAGCCAAATTAAGACGAACCAAGTTTGTAAGGGAAGCAAAACTTGTAGGGATACTAGAAATGTGGTTGCTGGAAATATCCTGAAGAAACAAAAATTAAACAGTAAAATATAGTATCCATTCAATTGTTAGGTACATTATAAATTAATCACTAAAATGGTGATAAAGTAGTTACCATCACAAGAAGGGACAGACATATTACAAAAACCTTTTACTTACCAATTCTTCCAAACCAGCAAGCTGTCCAAATTCATCAGGCAAATGACACAATTCATTGTGCTGTAAAAGCAGACTTCTCAAGTGCTTTAGCTGGATAAGCTCCTCTGGTATTTCTTTCAGTTTATTATGACTATTGACAAAATAAATTATATAAACATTTCTATACCACCTAATTAGTGAAAGTTCTCTTCACATTTCACAAACCAAAACTTGATCATAAATACAGTAATGCAGCAAATCATTATAGTAAAACCTTAAATTAAAAAAAAGAATAAAACCAAGATAAAACAAAGATAAAGCTAGAAACAGAGCGAAGTTCTACAAATGAAGCAACACTCTTCACTATGAAGGCTAGGAAAATATGTCTGCACCTGATTCCAGAAACACAAAATGTATGCATAATGGAGAGGGCATTTCACAACTGGAATACCACCACTGAAATAGTCCTCTTCCTAACAGTTATGAAGGAATACACTATAACAATCTTTGAAAATAGCAACTGTTAATAGAAAAAACACTTGGGCTTGCAAAGATTTCTTTTGCTCCTTACTAAGGTGGTTGAGGCCCCATCGGTGAGGGTGTTCAAGGACAGGCTAGACATGCACATGGTAGACATGTTGTTAGCGGAGTTGGCTATAGACAGGAGTCAGACTATATGGCCCGGGAGACCCCTTCTGACTCGCTCTGTTTTCTACTAATGTACGAAACATTAGTATGTTTCTACTAATGAAGATCTGCACGTAAAAACAATTTTCACTTCCTAAACATTTTTATGATATTGGTACAAAATACTTACCTCACGTTAAGTTTCTGAAGATTTTCCAGTGATCTTATAGCAGCAGGAAGAGATATCAGTTGATTATCATGCACCTAAAAATAATAAAAAGTTGTCAGAATGCTTATTCTTCCAGATAATAAGGTATCAAACGCTCTAGAACACATCTAGTTCTGAAAAGCTTAAGGTTTGCAAATGACAATTGTGCAAGCCACTGTTAAACATCCTAAACCAGAATTCTATTGTTTCCAATGTCTAACCATTTCTTCAATCTTTGCCACTTAATGGCAAGACCATTAGATGAACCAGAGTCAAAAAGGAAAAAAAGGAAACTGAAGCACTAAGGAGGAAAGCCATGATCACTGGGAAGGTCCATATGACCCAACAGCCTGCACTGCATTGCAACCTACATGGGGTTACTGTATCAGTGAAAGTCCAGTCCCCAGGAAAAGTTTTCTATTGGAATATTTAGATCTATAATTTCAAAACCGTGTTTCTGAAGTGCTGATTATGGACAGAAACTGGGATTCACACAACATGATAACAATCCTCTAAATGAAATTTAAGTTGGTTTTGAGGAATTGTTGAACAACGCTTTGCCAATGCACCCTTGGTTGTCGTGCTCTGTGAAACCACTCATGCCAACAAGTTATGGTTTGCTAATCACAAACAAATAATGAAGAGATCCCATGGTTTGTTGTTACAATATGGAAAGTCGTGTTGCCTGAACCCAGCCAAAGGCACTTGTTTTTAAAACTACAGGAACCAGCTTCATTTCAGATGCCAAGATTCAGAAATCCTCCTAGAATTTTGAACATTCCCCATTCTGTCTCCATCAAAGTCAGTCAAGTTGTTAAATGCGTTTCTCCCACCCTACCTTCAAGGAGCTCAGGGCAGCATTCATTTTATCCTCAGAATAGCCCTGCAAGTGAGGATGGAGACTGTCCTATGATTAATCAGTGAAGCAAGCAAGGATCTGAACTTGGAAATCAACCATTCTAGCCTCTGCACCAAAACACTCAACAAACCAGCATATATATATCAGTTAAGACCCCCGATGCAGTCCATAGGAAGTAATGTATCCAGCATGAGTAAGAAACATGTATTTTTATGTAAAGTTTATATGTAACCCTCCTACAGCTCTATGGAAAAGGCCAAGTCCACAATCCCTCCCCAACACTCTTCACCAGCACAGTATGCATGCAGCATCCATCCAAGTTATTGTACTCACATCCAGCACAGTGAGTGCAGGCAAGAGTTTCACATCATCAGAAAGACACCGAAGTTTGTTGGAAGATAAGATTAGTTTGGTGAGATCAGTTTGCTCCCACCACCGATCAGCAGCACCAAAAGAAAGATTTTTGCTGGCTTCTTCTGGAGTATCCAAATTTATCCGCCATACATGCAGAGGTACTGCACACAGAAAAATGGTAAGTCCATATAAATAACTACATCCAAAAATCATGCTTCAGCCATTAGTATTGCTGACACTCTGAAAGCTTTCACAAAATTGCAGAATAGGATATTAGGTTTCCATATATCTGAAAAGGAGAGAAACTTTTTTTCTTTTTCCTAACTTGGTCCTCCATTTCAAGTTCTCAGATTCTAAAAGGTGCAACACAAAACCCTAAGCTAGGCTTACCTCAAGCAAGTCCCATAGACTCCAATGGGGCTAAGCACATTGTACTTCAGAATAAGTTTGCTTAATTTGGAGCCAACATACATGCTACTCTATCTTAAATGCAGCAAATCCTATCTGTAAATACAGCCTTCCTGTTCCTTTACCAAAGATAAAGTAAGTAGGAGGTGTTAAAGCTCATCCCAGCCCATCGTCCAGGCTGCAGAATAAGCTCTTCCTCCTATTGCTTACATGGGTTTCACGGTGTTATAAATGCACTTGTGATCAAAAACTATACTAGGATGGAGAGCAGATGTTCTGAGCCACAACTCTTTTCAGCAAAGCTAAAGGTAAAACAGTGTGAGAGCAACTTTGGTCTTAAGACCAAAGCATCTTAAGGCGGTTGACCTAATAGTCCATGTCCTGGTGTGCATATGCCCAAAATACTCAGCAGGGAAGGTTTTAAATGATTTATTCTCCAGAATAACCAGCTACCAACAAATCATTCCAGATGGCACACCTCAGCAGTCCTCAGTTGTCCTTTCATACTTTGATCATTAAAGGATTACATGTAACACAGTAACACTAGCTTTCTCTGGAATGGTGCCTGGTTAGTGTCAGCTACATTTCAAGGATGCACACATGACAATTTCTAGAAAAGAGGGTTTTTCTCTGACCCGGTTATGTGCCAATGAATGAATGCATGATTACACCTGTGTAAGTTATACCTATTGATTTGTACATCAAGACCACAAGTTGCTTTCCCTGGGGAACAGCCTTTTTCCAACCTTGTGCCTTCTAGAATTGCTGGGCTACAACTCCCATCATTCCCCAGTCAGCTATCCTGAGATTTGTAGTGCAACACCTTTGGAGAACATCAAATTGAGTCCAGGATTAAGGGGGGAAAGGGGAGACACGGGCGCGGCTTTTCATACCATTCAAACGCCCCATCCTACATGTTCCAAACTCTGTGCCGTAAAAAAGGGAACGAAAAGGCTCTGTTCTTAGCATCATCCCCATTCCGTAAGCCCCACGAATGCAAACCGCCCTCTTCCCTCCAAAGGGAAGGCAGAATCAAAGACTGGGCCTGTGCAATGGGGCCCTTGACCTCGCTGTGTTGAGGCTCTCCGCCCAAAGTGAATAACATACGAAGCTCAGCCGCTGCAATCCTCGCCTTAGCCGCTCTCACCTTCAGTCAGCTCCCGGCCAGAGAGGTTTAACTGGCCGCTCTTTCGGGCTGCTCGGATTAGGCCCTGAGGCACCCGCTCCGCGCTCGCCTCGCCATCCCTGGCGCTTCGCCGGAATCCAGCGAGGGAGCTTCCCCCGCCTCGTCTCTGCACGCCCGGCATCGCGCCCACCTCGATCCTCTTCCTGACCAAACCCGAGAACGCAGCGGCAAGGGACACAACGTGACGCCCACCTCACCTCAGGCGGATCCGCCTTTTCTAACGTAGTGGGCGGATCAGGCAACCTAACCGCCGTTTTGTGCGGCGGGAGGGCGTTGTGCAGAGGGAATATCCATGTCAGGCGATAAAGCTGAGCAACCCTTAAAACAGGGCATATACGGACTGCAGCTCCCTGAATACGGACGAAGAGGTCTTGCATGTGGGCTCGCAGTCTAGTGGTCATAGAATGTTAAAGCAGCACGGCTCCAAATCTCTATTGGTCCGTGAAACTCACTGGATGACACTGGGTCTTTCTCAGTTTAACCTACTTCTTAGGGCTGTTGTAACCCCCGGGGATAAAGTGGCTAAATAAAAAGGTAATGTTGTACACTACTTCAAACTGTTAGGACCTAAGGCAGTATGGAAATGTAAATCTCAGACTTCTCGAACCTGATGCCAGGCAGATATTTTGAACTGAAACTTCCATCAATTCCAGTCAACATGATCAATGCTAATTGAAAATGGGAACTGTAATCCAAAACATCCGCCTGGGACCAGGTTGGGAAAATCTAAAGGGGCAGGACTTCCAAGCCTGAGCTGTGATTGATAGCCAGGTGTTTGCTCCAGCTGAAGCATTCCCCCCGCTCCCCCCCCCCGAATAGTTTCCACTGCACATGTGCGTATTCCTTAAAGGTTGCTCCACTGCTTCATTTCAATAATGTGCTCACTAGTCAGCTTACTATCACATCTTTGATTTATATACTTCTCAGGGTTTAATAACAACAGTCATTTCAGGCAAAAAAAGTCATGACTTTCTGATGGTTACAAGAAACAATAGTAATGGAAATGAACAAAATAGATCAATCAAACCATTGAAAGGAGAATGGCCAGAGTTCTATGGTGGAGCACATATTTTGTATTCAAAACATCCAGGTTCAGTCCCCAGTATCTCCAGAAATGGTGAAGGTCTTAATCAGTATGGTTCTATGTCAGTAATGACTATACTTTTTGTTGGTATATTGACATTGCAGGACATAGGAAGGCAGATTTTTAAAGCCTTAATTTCAGGAAATACTGAAGATGGATAATTATACACATTTACTAAAAGAGTGCAATCACATTGTCAGAACTAAGTCCTAGGTGTTTGGGTATATTAGGATTGCAGCCTATGTCATATTTAATCCCCTTTTTGGCATAGATTTTTTAATCCAGTCCCCTTTGTTTACACAACACTGATTTGTTTGGAGCCTATGGAAGAGCTCTGATATAGAAGTAGGGTAGCAAGTCAAATTTTATTGTTCTATTTCTGACTTAGTCCAGTTCTATTTATTTAGAAATCCCACTGAATTTGGTAGTTATTTCTTATACATTAATAGACGCTTTTTGAATGAAATTAAAGTTTCTGAAGTTTAAACTGAAGCTTATGAATAGTTAGTGGTTTGTGATTTACAGAATATATCATTTGCAATCATATAAACACTTATTTGAAAGCCCTGCTGTATATAGTGATACTTTTGAACTCACACCTTCATGGCATCACAAGTGCTTAACAGCTTATGCTGGGATAAGTGCTGCACATAGAAATGTCAAGTTCCAATCAAATTGTGGCTTTTTGTCTACTCTAAGCATTAAGTTTCTGATGCAAGTTTTTTTACTACTAATAATTTAATATCATCGTACCATGTATGCTTCTGCAATGCTTATCACTGTATTCAATAGGCTTACTTAAATAGTTGTGATTAACAAGGCTATTAATTCAGTGGATCTATGCTTGTATTAATCAATCTAGATCCAATCTGGTAAGTGCTTTATAATTCTTATATGACTATCCTAAAACTAGCGGCTTTTTGGAAAAACACAACTAATTCTACCTCACGACCTTTGTGAAGTCCGTATAAGTTTTGGGTTTGGACCTAGGACCAGCTTATTACCTACTGGATACAGGTACAAACGGTCTAATCTTGCTCGTTGCCTACATTTACTTTCCGCCTAATAATGGCCGCCACAATATTCTAACACTGAGAGCGATTTTTTAAACTGCCGACAAGTCAGAAACAAATTATATAATGAGGAGGCTCACCACAAGAGACCGAATAGTCCTCGACTATAATATTTAACATTTAGTCAAATGTTAGTCGTCGACTATAACATTTAGTCAAGTGTTATTTTATTGAGTTACACGTCATTCAGCCTTAGTAAAATGTCCGGCACACCAGGCAAGGCTGGAGTACCCTAATTTCCGTACAGAAGGAAGACACTACGCATGCCCACAAACTATTCCAAGGGAACGGGCATGCGCATCATACAGGTTATGCGTGTCTCCTCCTAGGAGACTCGGCGTGAGCAGGCGCGTCACTGAAGGCTCGTCCATCGAGCAGCGCGAGGACGGGGCCGCTGAGGATTGTGGGATATTGCGGCCCAGACAGGCTGGTAGCGAAACGATCGTTCAGCGGCGGTTATTGCGCGCGCGAGAGACTGAGGCAGTGGCCCCTTTTCTGGAAATCTCGACGGGAAGCGCTGAGGGACATAAAAAAGGCGATCACCCGCTTCCCCAGGGCCCACGACCCCTCTCCTCTCGATGCGTTTGTAGTGCAGGAGCAGGAGGCAGCGCTATGGCTTCAAGCAGCGGCACCGATGTGATCCAGGTCACCAACGTCTCACCAAGCGCCAGCTCCGAACAGATGCGGACCCTTTTCGGCTTCCTGGGCAAGATCGAGGAGCTGCGCCTCTTTCCTCCTGAGTGAGTTTCGCTTGTCCTCAGGGGACGCTGCTCGCCAAGTGGCTTCCTCCAGGCCTAGGCCTCAGAGCGGCCTAATGGAGGCCACGGTACCGCGCTCTCGCTTGCCAGGCCCGGATCGGGCGAAAGGGGGTGGGGAAGGAAGGAAGTCGGGGAATGAGTGCTAGACTGCAAAGCGCTACGCGAGGGCGCTGCTTTTGCAGTCTCCCAAATCGGACACGTTTGGGCCTCTGGAATCGCCATTCTTTAGTGTTCTCTTCACCCACTTTTTCCCATTCATCTTATGTTTATGGAACTGTTGCCGTCTTTCTCTTGTTCTCCCTGTTTCTCTACTGTTTTCAAAGGACAAAAACTTACTCGGCGTGTTACTACGCTGCTTGTCTGCCCCCTGCATCTCCTTTCCAGAGCACTTTGTGGAGGCAGACTATCACAGATTTAGCAGCCTGCGTGTTCATCTAAGGGAATGGCAGAATTATAGAACGAAAACTTAGAACGCAAAATTTTCATAGTTGATATGTGAACGGTCTATGACTTATTAGTTTTCATAAGAGTATTAGATTAAAGATGTGTACATTTAAGAAGATGAGGAATTGGCTTGTGCTCCACTCTACACACGTTTTGAATAATTCTGAAGAGATGGTTTCCGCTCTGAAATAAAAATGCCAAAAGAAATTTTTGCATTTTGCTTCCCTCTTCCCCCCAAATCAGGTGACTGTCGTGTGGTCTCATGCTGACCAGTCACTAATCATACTACTTCAGTTTGCAAGATTGGTTATAAGCCCACATTTGTATCTAGTAGAAAGCCAGAGTTCTATGGCTCTGGGCCTTCTTGCTCCCTGACAAGCCAGAAGACATTAAAAGGTCTAAAATTGTGATTCACAAGTGGTGCAACAAGCCAATAGTCCCTGGCACAGATAACATACAACCTTCCCTTTACTACTTAGTTTAGCCAGCCTTATTGGTAGAGGGATGAAGTGGTGGGAGCAATACATTTGTTCTTACTGTGTGAGCATGTTTATATGAACAGAGAGTAATCAGGGATATCTATACAGTTGTTCAGAATGGGGTGCATCAGGAATAAAGAGTCAAAATACATGTTTTAAAAACTGTTCTAGAGCAAGTGTTATTAAGAAACAAAAAATAATTTCCTGTTGGGCAATGCATGCTTGTTGTCTGCTTGGCTTTTTACAAGGCAAGCAGGACTCAGTGAATCTTGTGATATGCTGGCAAACAATATCTTGCTTCAGAATCAGTTAATACAGATTACTTATTCCCAAACTGACTTCTGTAATGTGCCCTTTACTCTGTATTATTTTAAAGACTGCATTACATGAGTGAAACAGAAAACATACACAGTAGAACTGAATAAGATTGAAAGCTACCGTCTGTGCTCTATAATTCTGGTATGTGGCCTGTACAGTATAAATGTTCTGTTCTAGAGTTACCATGATTAGAATATGTCTGTTACAACCTTTTACTTAGATAATTTTATGAGCAATTTCCATAGATAGTGTAACTAAATCTCAGCTCCCCCAATCTACACTTTCCCTATTTAGATTAAACTATCGAGGCTCTAACATGTGCACACTTTCCATGAAATAAATTTGGGGAAAGGGAGCGATGGAAAGGAGGGTTTTTCTGTCTGGGGGTGGGGGAGGGATATTAATTTCACATTCCATAAAAATACATCAGTAGTAGTTTCACTAGCCTAAAATAATTAAACTGAGATACTGAATGGAGCCAAAGGGACCAAGGAAGTACCCTTAGGTTGGAATCCTAAATGTACTTAGGAATCACAAGGCTTCGTTAGACACAACTGCTTTACTTCTGAGTAAAATGCCTAGCATTGCAGTGGTTCTGTAATAGTAAATGTTACTCAAAAGTTTACTTAGAAATTGCTTTTATTTGAGAATAAATGTAAGTATGTAAGACCTGAGAGCTCAGTAGCATTCCTTTCCTTACCTACTTTAGATTGCACTGTAAGGGCTAGAAATTTTTAACTTTCTAATCTTACTATATAAGCATTGCTGAAATAGACAAAGGCCTATATAGTTTACTGTTCATGCCGTGGCCAACCAGATGTCTACTGGAAGCCCACAAGCAGGACATGATTTGAAGGGCACTTTCCAGTTCATCTTGGCCAGCAGCTGGTAGTGAAAGCCATACTGCCCCTGTTGGTCATTACTACACTGGTTAATATGAGAATATATTTGGTGCACTTTATAAAAAAGTAAAGGTAAAGGTTTCCCCATGACATTAAAGTCCAGACATGTCTTGCTCTTGAGGGCAGTGCTCATCTCCATTTGCTAGCCTAGGGAGCCAGCTTTTGTTTCCATGGTCTTGTGGCCGGCATGACTAAACACTGAGGTGCACTGAATGCTGTTACCTTCCCACTGAAGTGGTACCTTTTTATCTACTTGCATTTGTAGTCTTTCGAACTGCAAGGTTGGCAGGAGGGTGCACTTTATAGGGCTAGTTAATTTTTGCTTTAAAACTGCCACATTTGACTGTGTGTGTCTCTTAGTAATTAAGTATATGAAGCAGTGCATTTATTGAAGTGAGAGATGTTTGGTACTATTTTTCAATATGGCTGGAACCAGCTCCAGATGATACCCAGGAACCTCTGGGCTTTTAAAAAATCTGGCTCATTCCAGATTGGCTTGCATTTCAGAGCAGCCAAGGTAGTGTGGTGATGGATAGATTCTAACATTAGACATTCTGCCCCCATTTTATTTATTTATTTATTTAATATCTATTCCACCCAATAAGCTGAAGCTCTTTGGTCTGTGGACACTAGTAATAAATTCAATAAAATACAACATAGACTAAAATGACAATAAAATCATAAAATTACATTACAAATTTAAAGCCACATTTTTAGAACTAAACAGGTAAAACCAGTTCATGCTGCTAGGCCTGCTGATTACCCCCATCCCCACCACTGTGTGCTATTTGGAGTTAGTAAATCCCTCTGCAAAGAAGGCAGTCTCAACCTGCTACCAAAATATAGTAAAGTTGGTGCAAGGTAGGCCCCTGCATGAAGATCATTCTGCCACTGTTTTCAGTAATGAAGGGGAAAACAATTAATGAACTTCCCAGCACTACCTCTAGATGAGCTATTGTACTTTGGGGACATGAGAATATAAACTCAGTGGAGAAACAATAATGCTAGGGCAAGTTTGAAGGCAGAAGAAGGCAAAGACCAAATATCATATAGACAGCCACAGTCTCGTGTTTCTTACAGCTGTTCTTGATGGCTTAGTTGCATTTAATGGTAAAACATTAGAATGGGTTGATGCCAGACATTCCTTTATCCCTTACAACTTGTGATTTAGTGACAGTATATATTTATGCAAAACTAAAATACCATCACACAGTTGATTTTCAGTTAAATAATGCATTGGCTGTGTTGCTCTTGTATCTAATGTTATTGTGTATGACTTTTTGTTTGTTTGTTTTTTAGTGACTCCCCTTTGCCTGTTTCTTCACGTGTGTGTTTTGTAAAGTTCCAAGAACCGGACTCTGCAGTTGTGGCTCAGCATCTGACAAATACTGTATTCGTTGACAGAGCATTGATAGTCGTACCATATGCAGAAGGTTTGTGAATTGTTTAATGATCTATGATGTCATAGAGCAATGGAACTTAATCCTGTTGTAGTTTAATAGCATGAAGTTTAGTATGTAAAACATCTAAGCCATTTACATTTTTAAAAAACCCTTGGTATACTGATATCTTTAGTTTTTGTACAGAAGCAGATCAAACACTGAGTTATTCAACAAAAACTGGAACATGCCTGTCAGTTTTTGCAAAAAGACTCTTTGAAAACACAAAATGTTTAAGCAGCATTATTTGATATCTTTTATTGATAATCAACCTCTCAAGATATCTTTTTAAGCTGTGTTTTAAAATTGAAATAATAAACAAGAAACATTGCTTTAAGTTACCTGGCATATGTTATCACAAAATTCATTCTCGCTCATAGAGAATGGGTAGCATTGCACTGGCAGATCAGAGGCATTGTTCCACTTACTTTAGTTGACCGTTCAAAAGCATTTACCTTCAGTATTAATTCTGGTACACCAAGGGTTTGATAATCTCTATTAGTCAGAAAATATCTCCAAAGGTGCTAAATGGGCACTGGGTGTTAGATCTTATTTCACATTTTCTTGTTCAACCTTGCTATATTTTCTAGAATTTCACTAAATAATAAACTCTTCTCTCTGTTATTTGTGTGTGTGATTTTTGTAGTGGAGAAGGCAAATGCAAAGGCCCTTCCAGATGACTGAAACAGTGGGGTCCTCTGCAGCTACAGGGGATTCTAGACATTAACTAAAGGCCAGCAAGCACTCAAGTCCCCCAAGTGTTTTCCTGGTGTAATCACTTGTTAACAACATTTTTCTCTCTTCTTTTTCTTACATTTTTAGGGTGTTACAGTAATTTGAAAAACAATGAGCAGGGTTGGGAACATAACTCTATAATTCTGTACCAAGAAGATTCTCTCCTAATGAGTTCTGTTGAACATCTGTAGATTTCATCACAACTAATTCAAAGGCATCATTAATTGATAAAACTAGTAATCTTAAATTACTTGATTACAATAAAATATTTTCAGTCCTATGATGCAGTCCTTGGCACACAGGTTGTTAAACCTCATTGAATTCAACAAGATTTAGCAGCGTGTGTCAGACTGTACTGTTAAATCTTACCTTTAGTAACTATTTTTGATGTAGATGTTCATTTACACATTAGCAAGGCAGAGGAATATATAGTGTGCAGACATGTTTGGCAAGCCCTAGTTGTTAGTGTTAGACTGTCCCTGAGTGTAAGCAAGCCTAATCCTAATTTCTTTAAAGTGTCAAATACATTTTTAGAGTAGTAGTTGTTCTTTTGGTATTTTGGGCAAAATAATATTTGAGATACTGCATTTGGTTCTTGTATGAACTTTATACATATTGGAGCCAAACTAGCCGAGACAGTGGCCATGTGTTTAAATGTGGATTTGCCCCAGTTTCATATGAAAAGGGGAACGGGTATTTGTCTTTTATTGCAAAAAGTGTGTATGGGTGAAGAGTAGAAGAACCCTTCCTGTACCTGCAGCTTAACAGTCTCACAATCTGTCCCCCTCTGCTTTTTTCCTCCTCTGAGCTCCAGTGCTGAAAATGTGCTCAGCGCTTGCAGAAAGGGGCTGTGCAGAGGTAAGCAGCATGTTGGGATAGTTGCAGGGCCTCTGACCATTGTATTATTACTTCTATCAAAAGCAGGCACACGCCCTTCCTATGTGCTTCACAGCAGGACTGCTAGTTTGGCTCTTCACAGAATCCATACCTGATGTATCTATAGGACGATGTCAAGGGTAGTAACTCACTAAAATTTTGAAGATTTTTATTAGGTAATTTTGTATTTCTGTGCTAGAATCCTAAATGACTGGTAAATCTGGCACTAAAATGATCAATCAAATGGATTACTTGAGGGTCTCTTAAAGATTATTTAATGCAACTTCAGCAGCTGTTACTTGTCAAGGACTCAATTTTGGGTTTTAGAAACTACAGTTTTATAGTTGGTGGAGACTTACAAGTCTGGACACAGTACTTTAGCAGAATAGTCTACTGTTCATTTTTTCTCCATGATGTTTGACTACTTTGTTCTTGCAACTGCTCCTTATGTGTGGAAGCAAACAGGCTTCACTCCTCATTTGATTATATTGGAAGAGCCCCTTTTCCGCTAGGTATTTAAGCATTGTTCAGTATATTACTTTCTGAACACTCATATGCACTGAAGCACATGCTTAAGTACTCTGCTGAATTTGAATCTACATTTTTATTTTTTACTATTGTGGTGATATGTTTTATCATTACCTTATTTGAAGCATTAAGATGCAGCACGATGTTAATCATAGTTCCCTGTAGCAGTCACATTCCTGTTTTTAGTCTGTTCCTATATCTTGGTGTTGGCTCTTGCTTTGTGTTTTAGATTTAACACAAAGTTCACGGTAAGGCATTGTACAATAAACTTCACTGAAGATCAAGGATTTGGAAGGAACTCAAATATTAACAATGGCTTTGGGTGGGGTTGTGTAGGTTCTTTGGTTAATGTTTGTTTCTTTTGTCTGTTTCTTTTTCTTCGTTTCTACACATTCATGCAGTATGTCATGGTTCTAACAAAGCAGCAGTAAAAAACTCTTGACGCATGAAAATTAACTGGTGAGGGGCCTCATTGCTTTTTTTAAAAAAATGTAGTTTTATTTCTGAATAACTTTTTTCCTAAAGATGAGAGGATCAGATGCATGACTACTTAATGGATGCAGATCTTCTGTGAAATGTCTCAAGATGAGGATTTATAGTTAGATGTCAGAAATGTTATAGCTGCACTAATTGTGTATAAACATAAATAATATCCTCTGAGACATAATTTTGCATGCAAAATTATCCCATAATCTCTATAGCTATGTTTATATTGATGCATTAATGCCCTGTATCTAAATGACCTCCCCCCCTTTTCCCACCATAACTTTTGGTATTGAAATTATGACAGCTCAGTGACAGAAGAAAGATAACAGTGCTGTGTATTATACATTTGTTTATATTATCGGCACTTCTCAGTATAGGTGGAAGGAACCATTACCTTTATTTAACAGTGGTTTTTCTTTTTTGTTGTTGTGTTTTACAGTTCTTTTCCCTGGTTCAGCCTGAACTATATACCAGGCCCTGCTGAAAATACCACCCAACAGTTTTCTTCTGCAGCTTATCCAGTTTCTCTTAAGTGCCCTGTACATATTGTATGTTTTATGATGAGATGCAGTCTTTTTAAATATGTATTGCAGAAACGCTACTGGTATTTGCAAATATATAGTACAGTTGTCTTGTTGAACTCTCATATTGGGGGCTTGGGCACATTAACAGATTAATCCATACGTATAGGGCTTTTGCTGTTGGTTAAAATAACAACAGTCAACACTGTCTCACGTTGGACCTTTTTGTAAGGTTGTTCTGTATTCAGCATAGGCAGTGAAATTATAACATAGGCTACAATGTTGCAGTCCAGAAGTTTCTTCTGAAATGGCAATCTGCAGCAGAATTCTTGGTACAGTAAGCATGTCACACAATGGAGCGTGTATTTTACTACACAGGTAAGGAATGTGCCACATTTTAGGTGTTTACATGAGCACATACACATGGACACATATGCAGAACCTCTATTTGGAGCTCTGTGGAGACCTTCATAATCATGTGACACGCCAGCAAAAGCCCTACACTTTTCCTTACCTGCTCTTTAAATTTTACAAAATTGTATGGTAGGTGTAAAAGAAATCATAGTGAACTGTACCATATTATTAACCCCTAAATCAAACTTTTTTTGTCTTGTGTATCTTGATTTTTCTGTGTGCTTTATAGTGAAGCAGCCGACACGAGTCGTTGTTCATAAAACAGCTTTTGAAAGTTGAGAGCACACCCCTGGAGAACCGACTGTGCTTGCTTACGTTTGGTTCATGACTTAAAAATCGAGTACAGGTGATGAAATCTTGGCAGTGTTAACAAAACAGTAGTGTGTATTGTGCTATTTTTTATTCTAGAACTTAACCATTTATAGAGAAAAAGGAACAGTCAAATTTTCACACATTGAAGTTTCATTCTGAACATACAAATTAATGATAATTATTAAGAGATCAAACATTGTATTGTAGCCAACATAAGTGCTTCAGCAAACTCAGGTGGTGTTTTAGGGAGACTTTCTGGGTGTATTTGTGTGTGTGGTTTTTTTTAAACAATCATGGATGAGCGTCTTCTAATGCAAAGCTGTTTCTCTGCAGGAGTTATTCCTGATGAGACTAAGGCTTTGTCTCTCCTGGCACCAGCTAATGCTGTGGCAGGTCTTCTGCCGGGGGGTGGACTCCTGCCTACACCAAACCCGCTTTCTCAGGTAAGAGTACACCTTAGGTGGTATGAGAAGTACTACTTTGTTTTTATATGTAGGAAGGTGTACTTGCTGTAGCAACACACTTGCAAGGTTTGCAGCAGAACTGTGACAAGTAAATTGCCCCTAATAGCCAGGCCAACACCCATTTTCCCCAGTAGCTTTAAAAATTGTTCTGGTTGAACACTCATTTATCCTTGTGGTTTGCTTGTTCTTTTGTCTATAAAATAACTTCTGAAATAGGTACTAATACGGCCTTGACCAGGAAAAAGAACAAGCTTTTTTTTTTTTTTTTGATAGCTGAAGAATTTGTCTCTTTTTCACCTCTGAGCAGTAGTTAGGGTGATTAATGAATGCATTAGATTTTAAGTGGGGAGCAAGTTTCCCAGTCATTTTTCAGGACAATGACCTTTTTTTTCTTGCTTTCATTATAGGAATATATTTATAGAAATTTGTTATAGGAATGAGAGATACGAGTTCATAAGAAAGAAACAGGATATAAATCAAATAAATGTCCAGATGCCCAAAGGAATTGGAGTGCTTTCTTACAGTATGATGCCAATACTGAGGTTTTATTTACCGCATACTTTTCCTGTTGCCTTTTTCCTGTATTGCGCTGTATGATGGAGCCTGGGATTAAGGTTTTCTTTGTATGATGAGACCCTGTGACTGAGGAAGCTCCAGAATTCCAAAAACAGCTTGGAGAGATATTTTACTTTTCAGAACAGGTGCAAAAGAAAAGACCCTGCTTGCAACACCCAGAAAATTGTGTTGTGAGTGGGGTGATTCCCATATATTTGCACATTTTAGTAAGATGTAAATCCCACTGAGTTTGGAGCAGCTAACTCCCTACTAAGTATGCAGCTTTTGTCCTGCTAACACTGTGACAAGGGACAAAGCAACATGCTGTGCTGTGATGCTCCCTCCGCAGTGTTTGGAAGCATTAGGAGACACTTCACCCTAGAAAGCAGAGTGCAAGTTTACATAGGAAGTGGAGCAAGATGTGGGTGGGCAAGTCGCCTGTAAAATTGCCTAGAATCAAATTTAGTAAAATCACTGCATTTGATTCAGTCCATAGCTGGATGCTGCTTAAATTGTACAAGTTGCTTTTGTAACAGGCTCAATGATGTAAGCAGTGGAGTGCAGGCTTGTCTTTCGGTTGGGGTGGGCAGTCTGTGGCCCTCAGCCTGATTTCAAAAGCCTTCTGTCTGTAATCAGTGCAGTCAACTCAAGGGCAATCCATCTCTTTCCTAGGAGACCTCAGTATTGGGGGAAAAAAGAGCAGGTGTGGGGGAAATGGCACAAAGAGAAAAAGTGTGATCCAGCCATTTTTGGTTTTAGCTTTGCCTGCCACTACATGTAACCCCTGCCAGATCATCCATGAAAAGAAAGGGATTGCCTACTCCACAAACGAGCACTGTCATTTCTGGCTAGAGCATCACAGAACCCACCTTAATCCTAGCAGCCTCTTCTACTTTTACTTTTTTACCATCCATAGACAAGGACTCTTGGTTAACTGGGCTTTAATCATTTGAGGGTACAATCCTATGTTAGCTTAAACAGAAAAAAGACTCTGGCTGGGAGTTTTAGGTCTTTTTCTGTCTAAAGTGGCATAGGATTTCAGTTGTAGTCAGACTGTAGCTCAGTAGAAGACCATATGGTTCACAAGTGAAAGCTCCCAACGTTAACTCTGATTGCTGGCAGCTCCAGTTTACAAGGAGGTTGAAAAACAGGTGATAGGAAAACCTCTGCTTCTGATCTAGTGCTTAGATAAACAGTAATCTGATTTAGTATGAGACAGCTTGCTGTGTTGTATCATACTATTAATATTACAGTAAGTAATCCTTCAGAGTTATACAGAACATTCTTCTTGAAGATGGTGAAGGAGTTTGTGTACGCAGTCTGGCTGAAACAAGTATTATGTGCTTTATGAAAGAGTATTGTTGCAGATACTTTACGAGTTTGTTTGCTTTTTTACAGATTGGTGCTGTTCCTTTGGCTGCATTAGGAGCTCCAACTCTTGACCCGACTCTGGCTGCTCTTGGGCTTCCTGGGGCAAATATAAACTCACAGGTATAATGCTCATATATATACATCTGCTAGTCCACATATCTTTCATTCTCTGATAAATTATCATTTGTGAATATGAGCATAATACTTCTAACATCTGTTTGTGTATACTTTATATTTTTAAACATCTATACTTGATATGTGCTAAGATATAATGAACTCAGGCTTGGGGAAAAACCAGCAAGAAATTCAGTGTGATCTTACAGTCAAGTGATTTAACTTTCCAAAAAAGAAGTTATTCTAGTTTTTCAGTAACAAATACTATGCATGTTTAGACAGAAAAAGGCCTACAGTTTGTGGTATGCCCAGGTAACCTAACTGACTGGCTGGGAGTTAGTAAGAGTTTTTCTGTCTAAACATTCATAGGATTGTGCCTTAAGAAAGTCAAATAGCTAATAAATTCAATTAGCTAATAACGTGCTTTTAGCACTTTTTATAGTAGATCCTATAAAAACCTTTTTGAATGGCATATTTAGACACTAACTGACATCATAGTTATATGTTCTCTGTCTTTTCTAACATCTACATTAAACTACTAAGTGAAATTATGTGGGCATTTGAATACAGCTCTTCTGTTTCAGCAGTTAACATGTTGAATTGGTATTAGAGAAAGATTTATCTTGGTGAAATATTAAAGAATAAATTCACCAATTTATTCATTTGGTGAAAAATGCAGGATAGAAGTGCCAAGCTACTAAATGGGTTTCTCTTTACATGTCTTCTATTTAAATGGAATAGTTTTCTTTAGTAATCATATCATGGTTTATGTGTCAAAAATGGAACTTATTATGACCTTTTGTAGCCAGAGTCTTGCAGCAGTCACCTATCACTATTTTGTCAGTTTATTCTATATTGTGAAATCTTGTTGTGACTATTCAAAGAGGGAAATTAGCATCTATTGTGGTGAACTGTTCTAGCCAGGGCCCATATTGGTTTTGGTTTTGTTTTTGGATATTTTCTGGGACTGGATGATTTAAGAGGACAGGGCTTGCTCCTGACCATGCCACTCTGTTTCACAGAGAAAGAGACAGTCTTTCCCTTCTTAGCACTAGAGAACAGCTGCCTTCTCTGTAGTACGTTAGCCTTTCTCTAGTACAGATGGTGGGTATTTAGGAGTGGGGTGTCTAGGAGAGGGGGAGTGACCTGCAACAGAAGCTGGCAGTTTGGATGTAGAAGCCCTTTGGGCCAGATTTCAAGTGTCTCCATCTCTGCGCTATATTAAAATGTATGGACAGTAGAATGCCTGTTATGATTAGATTAGACTGAATTAACTTGCAAGGAAATAGAATTCAGTTGAAAGGCACTGGAAGTCCCATTGTGGTCAGTTTCAGCAGATTTAAGATCATTTAGCTCTGAGTAAAGATGTTTATGAGCATGGCACACTGGTTGTTTGGATAATCCCATGGTTTGTTCACTGTCAGAGTTCATACTTGGGGTAGGACAACTTCTAAACACCTCATCTCAGGTGACATAGCTAAATCACAGCTTTGACCCCCCCACAATTAAACTTTAATCCAGAATTTAGCTTTTGAAACTTGAACTTAAGGCACAATTGAAAACTACATGTGCATTTTATCTTTAATGCTAAAATCTGGTTTTCCTGGTAAAAGCAGATCTGTAGATTAAATCAAACTGCTATTCATTGTATCAAAGCAGATTTAATTGGTACAAAGTTAGCATAAGTTTAGCTTTCCCCATCTTCTCAACGATTGGCATAGTTTTCATCATAAACAGAAATAAACATTAAGCTTTAAGCAAACTAGAGGCAATCAAAGCAGATGAGAATTTTGTACTAACAATGACCACTAGTAGTCAGAAAGAAAGTGGTTTTCTTTGCTTGAAAAGATACTACACAGTCAGAGAATGAAGACAACTCACTTTCACAAGGCTGAGAGGAGAAATTTTGTATACTGGTGGCTTTAATCTGCAAATGCTACTTTATTTTTGTTAGAAATGGATCTTTTTTGTGATGTAAATTTTTTCTTCCATATTTTCGGTTGTTTAAAGTGACTTCTGTCTCATTTTCTTTACAGTCTCTTGCAGCAGATCAGCTACTGAAGCTTATGAGCACAGTCGATCCAAAGTAAGTATGAATTGTTATGATTGCACTATAATGCAACTGCTTTTGACAGTGCTCTTCACACAATCCTATGTGATAGGCTAGGCTGAGAAATAGAGAACTTCATCCATTGAGCTCATGCCTGAAAGAAGAATTCTCCAGTTCTAACCTCTACACCACCAGTCCCCAACCTTTTCGGCACCAGGGACCCATTCATGGAAGACATTTTTTCCATAGACTGGGGCAGGGGAGGGATGGTTTCAGGATGATTCAAGTGCATTACATTTATTGTACATGTTATTTCTCTTATTATTGCATTGTAATATGTAATTAAATAATTATACAAGTCACCATAATGCAGAATCAGTGGGAGCTATTAGGAGCCGGGCTGCATAGTGGAAGGTGAGCAGGGTTTATCTTGTGTTTGTGGCCACTCCCCTGCGCTGGTGTTGCAACCTTGGCTCCATCTCAGATTGTCAGGCATTGAATTCTCATGGGGAGTGTATGGCCTAGATCGCTTTGTAGTAGGGTTTGCACCACCGGGAACAGTGACATGGGGGAATGTGAGCGAGCAAGCAAGCGAGCATGGGACTGCTGCCTTCTAGAGGTCCCGGAGCTGCCTTCCCTCGCTGCACCTCCAAGCACCAGATGCTGGGGGTGGTGGAGAGAATTTGGTGCTGCTCGAAAGTTTGCCATTTTCTCCACCCCTCTCTCTCATTCTCCACTCACATGGCTAAAATTTCCCAGGGAAGGGCTTGATCAAAAGGGGGGGGGGTAGTCTGGGATCCTTGGCCACATCACCACCCCCTCCCTAGTGACCCAGGAGCTCTCTGAGCCAATGGGGGGAAGTTGGGGGAAGTTTTCCTGGCTGTTGCTGGCCAAGCACCGTCATAGCTCTTGCACCGAGGAGAAGGAGCCCAACATACCGCACCAACTCAGCCCACGCCTTAGTCGGGGGTGCACACTCTGGGGCGTGCATGGAAGACCCCTCTGCCTCCTCGTCAGCTCCCATTCGGCACGCAGTGAGTCAGCCACAACTGCCAGGACAAGAGGACATGGCGCAGTCCATGGGGGACAATGGGCAGGCACTCAGAGCACAAATCCTACTGTGAACAGCACATGTGAGGGATCTGAGTTGTGCACTCCTTGTGGAAGTCTGGTGCCTGATAGTCTGGGGCAGAGCTGGGGAGGTGGTGCTGGCTCTGGGGAGCAGCTGCAGGTGCAGATGAGGCTTTGCTCACCTGCCCGCTCACCACTCACCTCCTGCTTTGTGGCCCAGTTCTGGAGATTGGGGACCCCTGCTCTACACAATGGTGCATATTGGCAACACACACACCTGTATGAATATAGATGTGCTCTACTCGGGTACATAAGGCTTCTCTTGGATCATGTTCATGTAATTGTCTTTAACCAGACGGAAATTAGATATATTTATTTATTATTTGATTTCTAGCCCACCCCATTAACTACACAGCTCCTTGAGCAGGTCACAGACAGTATATTGAAGTGCTTCCTAGCACAGAATTAAAGATGCACATGCATGCATAAAAGTAATCCAATTGCCTGGTCCACATTCAAGAGGATTTCTAGTGATTTGAAGAGGCATGTCTCTATCACTGTACAAGTATGAGGGCAAAGGGTCACACCTGTTCAAATATTTTCTGCCTCTTTAACATGTTCAGTGAATTTTGATATCTAAATTGAGGCTGCGGGCCCTGACATGATGCCCTGCAGGTGACCTGACTTTCTTGGATTTACAGAAAGGTTGGTGCTGTCCTTGAGCACCATCTTTATTAACAGGAGTAGACCCCAAAAACTTACTTAGAAATTAAAAATGGATGGTGGATGGATCTGACACTTCATTTTGAAGTATAGGCTGAAGGTGGAAGGCACATCCTGGAAAACTGGGGTCAGCATGTTGGGTGATAGTGTGATTGGCATACACAGGGTGGGGAAAAGAAGCCATGGTAGCTTCTTTTCCTGACCAAATTGTGTGAACCCAGCCTATAATAGCTCTACTTTGGATAAAGCAAAAACCAGCAATTAACAATTTTGCTTTTTCAGGTTGAACCATGTAGCTGCAGGCCTTGTTTCGCCAAGTCTGAAAACAGATACCTCCAGCAAAGAAATAGAAGAAGCCATGAAACGAGTACGAGAAGCACAGTCTTTGATCTCTGCTGCTATAGAACCGGGTAAGCTATTCTAAAATGTTTCCTAAATATTCTTGTATTACCAAAACATATTTTGTTCCTAGAGTGGCAATGATACCAAATTATTCAGAGTGATAAAAATAAAAAGGTTGTGAAGTCGCAGAAGGATCTATGCAACTGAAGTGAAAAGCAATAAAATGGCAAATAGAGTACAGTGTAAGTCCATTTAAAGTGATATACCCCAAAGAATCCTAACTTCACATATAAACTGGTATGGATTGAGTTGTTTTCAGACTGATCAGGAAAGAGATTTTGGGGATAATAGTACTTCAATGAAAATACTGATCTGGTGCAGAGCAGTTATAAAAAAAGGCCTATTCCATGATAGGAATAATTATCAAGAATAAAGTAGTGGGTACTATAATGTGTTGTCTATCAGAGTGGATAAATTATTTTAAAATATTAATGAAATAGAAGTGTTAAAAATTTGTCATTTAAAAAAGTTAAAATGTTTCTTTTTAGAAAATGGTTTCACTGAAACAGACGTATGACATAGTTGGGGTGACGTTGTGTGCCATCTCCACTTTAGCCTCATTCATGCAACATAGGATTGCTCTCTAAGCTGCATCAGTAAATAATACTTTATCTGTAAAAGAATAGATTTTAAAGATCAGAATTGTGTTCCTGTTTAGGAAATACATGGAAAGTACAATGGAAAACTTGATTTAAGTTGCTCCTTTTTCTAGTTCTTGTTTTAAAAAATAATTTTGAAATAAATTCAGCCTGCTTTGTATAAATCTATGGCATAATATTTAAAATACCACATGCATTTTTGGTCACTGCATATCAAAAGATACTGTAGTGCTGGAACAGGTACAGAAGATGGTATCTGGAATTATAAGGATGCTCTAGTGACTCCCCTGTAAGGAAACATTACAAGGTTTGGGACTTTTAGTTTAGAAGACTTCAGACATGGGGGCATTGGAAACCATCCTGAGAGTCATCAGCTAAACAGGAACGGTATAGAGATGTTTTAAATTAAAAAATGATAGCAGTTTTTAAAATTAGGCATGATGTAAAGAAAGTAGGTAGAGATATCCCATTTCCCCCTGTTAGTACTAGAACTCTGGGTCATTGAGTGAAGCTTAACAGTGGGAGATTCAGGACAGACACAAGGAAGTACTGCTTTTCACAAAGTGATAGTTGAGCTATGGCGTTTGCACATGATGTGATAGTTGCAAATATAAGCAGCTTTAAAAGGAGACAAAGCAAATTAGTGGTCTGTATCCAAGATCAGAGGCACTATGCCTTTGGATGTGAGTTGCTGTAACAGCAGCAGCTAACAACAGCAGTGGAAGAGGGCTAGTGCCTGCTATGCAGGATTTCTGTGGGCATCTGGCTTGCTTCTGTGAAGCAAGATGCTAGACTAAATAGGGCTTTGGATTGATCCAGCAAGTCTTTTTTTACATCCTTAGTGCTTCCTCATCCCTTCGAGTATCCATGGTAAACTATCTTCCCATGATTGGTTGAAGAATTCATAAACAGGAATGTATATTTTCTTTTTGTCCCTTCACAAATAGGCAGAAGTACTCCAAAACTGCTTTTGGTCTAGAGCAATGCATTTGGTTGCAGGCATGTATAGGAAGAGCCCAGGGTCTCTTGTTCTAGATGCCGAGTGCTGATGTTTTGTAGACATTGTGTGGTATTTTAATTTTTTCAATTAAAGATAAAAAAGATGATAAGAGAAGGCATTCAAGATCCAGATCACGTTCAAGGAGGAGGAGAACACCATCTTCTTCTAGACACAGGTAAGATTTGTTCAAGATTTAGTGTATTAGGCATTCACTCTTCATACTATATATGAGAACAGAAAGCAATTTACAATCCTGTGTGTCCACTCAGAAATAAGTTGTTTTGCATTCAGTGAGGCTTGCTTTTAGGTATACGTGTTTAAGATTGCAGCCTTAGGTTTAAATCCTGTACTAGTCTTACTTAGACTAGACCCATTGAAATGAATGGGATTTAAGTTAGGCATGATTAATGTAGGTCCACTTCATTAATGTAGGTCTACTCTAAGTAGGATTAACACTGAGTTTAACCTTAGCGTTTCTAAGATTTGAAATTAATTTAAGAAAATGGGCATAATTTGTACTAGCTTGTCAGTTAAATTATAGTGCAGCATATTTTCTCAGATCCTTGTATCTATAGTTCAACATTTATTAATCTTCACTTAATAGTAAATCAATGGTTAGATACTGGAAAGGATCTAAATAGTAAACTTGAACCTCTTGTATAAATTTAAAGTACAGTGGTACCTTAGCTCACAAACATCTCAGTTCAAAACCAAATCGGATTGCAAACAGAAATTTCAGAAAAAAATTGACTCAGGTCGCAAACTCTGCATTGGGTGACAATCGCACCCATCTTCCCTGCACAATCGTGCTCGGGGGGTGGGGAGGATCGTGGTCGTGCTTGTGCAGAGAAGACTGGCACGATCACAGTCGTGCTTTGGGGGGGGAGATGGCCACGATTGTGCCCGTCTCCCCCCCCGTACACCTGCGATCGCACCCATCTCCTCCCCAGCACAATCACAACCATCCCCCCCCAGCACGATCGCTATCACACATTTATGGTTTGGACTCTCCCTCCAAACAATAACCCTCCCCCCCCCCACCTAAGTTAGTGTTCTTTACTTTGTTTTGTGATTAAAAAAAAATATTTACAGAACAGATTAACCTTATTTACATTGAACCTTATGGGGGAATTTGACTTGGCTCGCAACCAGTTTGAGTAGCAACCAGAGTTGTGGAACAGATTAAGTTTGTGAGCCAAGGTACCGCTGTATAGGCACAACGATTATGAAAGGAATGACTCTGATTTTAGACTCCCCTAGTTTCATTGATACATGAAATTTCTTTCTGTTAGTAATTGGAAATTGAAAGGAGACTGCTACAGTAGTGAAGTGCCATCTCCTGATCAGTAGAAGTAACTTTATGTTTTGTTCTGTACCCCGCCCCCCTTTTCAAACTTGTGAGATTTCATCAGATAGGAGCCACATACATTTGGGCATATCTCCATAGTATATAAGGATTAGAAATCTGGGGGTTTTTTAAAGCCTGAATGTTGAATTCCTAAGTTGCACCTTTCTTTGCTTAATCCTTTTTCAGATACTTGCCTAAAATGGTTCCAATTCATGTTTCTGTTGCTCTCAAAACTTCATTGGTGTGGTAGCTCATGCAATATATGTTATTGTCATAAAATATATTAATTTGATGTAGCTACTTTTTTGTTCATTAGACGGACATCAAGAAGTCGTTCAAGAAGACGATCTCACTCAAAATCAAGAAGCAGAAGACGATCTAAAAGTCCACGACGGCGGCGGTCTCATTCCAGAGAGCGTGTTAGAAGATCTAGGAGCACATCCAAATCCAGGTACTCCCTGAAAACTTTGTGAAATTCTGAAATAAGTTTTGTATTGGAGGATTTGACTATTCTAGTTATCAGAACTGTGAGTAGAATCCAGTGGTGTCCCACCCCTGACAAGATACAGGGATCAGACCTACAAAATCCCACCCCACCCCCCTTCTATAGGCAAAAACATCTGATGGAACAAATAGGTTTCTTTCAGCAGAGGAACTCTGTTTGGCAAACTTCAGTATATTGGCCCCGAGAGCCATATTTATGTAAAACTTCTGAAATTTACTAACTGCTGGCAAGTCATGGTGATAGACTGCCTGTCCCACTTCCAAAATTGTTTTCCCACCCACTTCTGATCTCCTCTGAAGATTATGAGACTGTACAACCCATGGCCTGTGGACAGGCACAACCCATGGCAGTTCAGTGCAGGGTGGCAGCCCCCAGAACTGTGCAGAATGCAGTGTTACATCCTCCCCTGCCACCTCCAGAATTTCTGTTTTTCCATCACATCTAATGGTAGGAAAATAGCCTCTGAAATGAGCTGCTGGGGTGGTTAGAGAGATTTAACTCCCCCATCCCCACTTATATCCAGAGATTGCTGCTAGTGGCAGAGAAATCATGATCTCGGGTGCAAGAGGAGGATGAGGACCTACCTAGGAACCTAATCCCTGGCCTTGGAGATCTTCCTGCAGGTTGTCCATTAGGCATTCGTGAAGTAGCCAAAACTATTTGATAAGCCAAGGATACATTTGGTATAAAATTCATGTTTCCTTCTTGATCTTGGAGGAACGTCAAGAGGGGTGATCTACTTAAACTTTATGTTTGGCATTTTTTAAGAGAGAAAAAGAAAGAAGAAAAAGAGAAGAAACGGTCAAAAACTCCACCAAAGAGTTACAGCACAGCCAGACGATCCCGAAGCACAAGCAGGTGCTGTAACTTATGTTAGATTTTTATTTTGTGAGCTAAATATGCTAACCTTAAGGAGATCGCTTTCTTGATTTATGGAATATCTTGAACCATTTGAGGAAAAGTTGTTTCTTACCACGCAAAAACACGTCTTTGAATTAAATTGCTTCAGGGGAATAAAAGCTGTTGTAAAACAAAATGGTAGCATTCATTTATGCAAGCTCTTCTGTTTGACAAAAAGTAAATCAGCATTTGATCTAGAATCTCCTTTAGTTGGAGGGGGAGAAATCTATATAAGACATTTTGCAGTCTGAAGTGAGGGGTTGGGTAGACTACTTTCTTCGTTATGGTCTCCGTGCATCACACATATATGGGTGCTGGCACAGTGCCCGTTGCTGGGAAGATTTAAAGCAGATTTTTATCTGCATTTTTAAGTCTCGTAATTTTGTAGCTATTCTGCAGACCTAATCAAGTAAAAGTCCAGCTTATGCTTTTTCTACTACAATATGGTTAGCACCATATCACTGCTCTGAGGCAAAAGTTCTTTAGTATTTGCTTTCCCCATTCTGACACCTTTTAAGATGCTGTTGGAGTACAACTCCTGCCATCCCTATGGGTGATGCAGAGAATGGGGGCATGCAGAGGACTGTTAAACAATAGAAATGTTGACTGGGAAGAATCCTGACTTTTTTTAACTTATTGCTGTAGAGAAAGACGACGCAGAAGAAGCAGGAGTGGATCCCGGTCACCAAAAAAGCCTAGATCTCCTAAGCGAAAGTTGTCTAGGTCTCCTTCACCAAAAAGGTTTGTACATTTTAACCAGTCCATAGACTGTGGGCTGTCACTTTGAGGAAGGGCACATTGAGAAGCTTTCAGTTTCAGTGGCTACTAATCTTGTAGGCAATTCCTTGAATCCTGTTCCCACAGCCTTTTTTTCTATAAATGTACTTGGGTACCATGATTGATGCCGTTTGAGCAAATACTGTTTGATTCTAGAATATGTTAAAAGGATTAACATTTTCATGTTAAATGTTCTTTGCTGTAACATTTGTTTAGAGGGGTAGCAAAATTGTATTTCTTTTGTCTGATTCGTTACATTATTTTGGTTTATTTGGTGTCTCTGTTTTCCTTTTTTGTGCTTAACTTTGCACCAGTATTTGCTGTACATCAGCCTGGGAGGAAGAGGGGTTTTTACTTCCCCCTGCAGCTTGTTTAATGTAAAATTAATTTCATGTTAAATCGCACATCTATGACCAATTTCATTACAGTGTCTGTGGGTCACTTGTCCATAGACATATTCTACATTTGAATTTGACTGTGGTTTTAACACCATGAAATGAAAACATTTCAATCTTATTTGTTAATTATTTATGTGTTAGACATTTCAAAAGATCTGATATATTTTTAAAGTAATAAGGTAGACATTTTGAGGGCTTTTTATCCCATAAGATAGACTAGAAATTTGTTAAAGATAACTATAAATGTCTTATGACTTTAGACACAAAAAAGAGAAGAAAAAGGATAAAGACAAAGAGAGAAGCAGGGATGAACGGGAGAGGTCGACAAGCAAGAAGAAAAAGAGCAAAGACAAGGAAAAAGATCGGGAGAGAAAGTCAGAGAGTGACAAGGATGTCAAAGTATGTTTTAAAACTCTGTTTCCTTTGTGTATGGCTATGATATCCTCTTTAATTCTCAGTCCCAAAAGCCTTGCAGCATGTCTTATGTGTTTTGTTTAATGTTTTATCTTGGCAAAGCAGGTCACAAGGGATTATGATGAAGAAGAACAAGGCTATGATAGTGAGAAAGAGAAAAAGGAAGAGAAGGCAGGAGATTCCACTTCACCAAAACGTAAGGAGTCACCAGCTGAGAAAGGGAGTGGAGATACGAGGGAGTCCAAAGTCAATGGAGATGATCATCATGAGGAGGATATGGATATGAGTGACTGAATATTGCCTTTGCAGAAAAACAACAATTGCTGACATGCATCGGTGTCATTCCTGTGTGAATCCTTTATGCTGTACTTGTTTAACCTTTTAAGCTAGATGTACACAGCTGTAACTATAACTGGTTGTAAAGCTCCTGATATTAAATAATTACACCAAACGTTTTAGATAAAGTGATATCTGGGTTTCCATTCTTGTTATTGGCCAAATTGAATTGAGTAGCCCAGCAGTTCTTAATGGCTTGGTGCTGCTGTTTTCCTTTTTGAGCAAAAAGTTGCATGCGTCTTTGGCAGGCATGGACTGTTTGTGTTGTATGATCTTTTTAGTAAACCAACTCACCTACAATAGTGTTTCTAGAGTTTGATTCATTTGCTGTAATAGAGCAAAATAGGGAATGCACTGGCTGCATGTTAACTGTGGCAAGAACATCCTCATCTCCAAAATATGGTGGATCTACTAAGGGTCTTAAGTGTAGACAAAGAAACTAACATTAGCTTCATCTGGGAAAAATGTTCTGATAGAGTTAGATAATCTTTGTAGCCCTGTGGCTGAAACTTTTTTTGTGGATTTTTTGGCTTTGGCAAGGTGAAAATGCACTAGCCTTTTTTGATGCTCAGTCTAAGGTGAACTTTGAGTCTAAACCTTCTCAGGTGGTGTGTTTGATTTTTGACAACTAAGACTTCTTGAGATAGTAATGAAACTTCTGTATTCCATAAATGAGAGAGAGTTAACCTTGTATAGTTTTTCAGAACCTACATTTTATTTCATTTTGTATGTGAGTGTGGAAACCCTGCAGAAAAGGGTAGTGCATTTTAAAAATTGGACTTCATGACGATTTTAAAACAAGTCTACTTGATAATGTACTTGATTTCAAGTTGTATAAACTAATAAATTTGTGTTACAGTCACTGAAGTAGTAAATTTTTGCACACAGTGATTCCATGTTATGCAAAGTAGTTGGAAAACTTGTTCTTTTAGTTCTGGAAGTTTTTGGAGCATATACTTTTGTGCAGGTAAAAACAAAAGTAGGCTACAGTCTGTGCCATGTTGATGTACAGTTTCTGAAATTGTTTTACAAGACTTTGATAATAAAACCCTTAAATATACACATCTATTTGTACTAAAGTGTACATGTATCTATTTATGCTGTAGACTTACGTTATTTCACTTGTGCTTTTCACATTTCTATTTTGAATCACAGATTTAAATCTGTCTAAGTACAGCAGACAGTACTGGAAAGCTGATACTTAACTGCTTTCTTTTTGTGCACGAGAGAACAAAACCTCAAATGTTCTGGAACCTGCAAACTGAACTATCTGATATATCCTGAAGGTGGTGTTACCAGTGAAATATAATACAGTGCTCTGTGTCCTTTGTTTTAGAAAAAGCAGGATAAGGCTGAAATAACGTTTAAACACTGTTTATTTCTGAGATGCCACTTTGTAAAAGATCCAAAACTTTGGTCCAATAACCAATGAAAAGCTCGTAAAAGTTATGCCTAGAATTAATACCTGTATGATTTTGCTTGAATCTGAAGCATTGGACAAAAATAGCAAATGAAATCCCCTTTTTTAAACTGATGTTTTTAGAATGTATAGATATGTAACTTTTAAAAATAATTGCAAAGTATTTTAAATAATAATAAATGTCTCCTAGCCTTTTCTTTCCAGAAAACAAGTCATTGTACCCCCACAACAAAGTAAATGGAAGCTATCTGTCTTTATATAAGTTTACTGCCTGTGTTCTGAAAGTCTTGATTAATCTTTGCAGGTTCTGTGTGAGTACACTAAAACTTCAAAGTGCTACGGATATATTGTGATCTCCTAAAGTCTGAATTAGAGTATGTATTTAATGTATGATTCTTTTTGTATATAATTTATTTACAAACAACAAACAGGAGCAGCTAGTAGAGGAAGTCTGGATCAGGGCTAACATTTTCCAAACACTGTCTCCTAAAGGAAAGCAGAGATGAGTGACCAGTAACTTCCTTTTACTGTCAAAATAGCTCTTGACAGCTGGGGCATGGAGATTTATTGAGAAAAAAAGAGCACAGAAGAGGACAATATGCCCTTTGTTTTTAAAGTTTAGATACGCAAATGCCATCCTGTATTGAATTCCCACTGAGAGGTTATGAAATACAAGTGATTCTGCATATAGAAATAACAGCTTTGGCTCCAGTGTGGATCTGTCCTCTTGTGCTCTGTAAGACTCCATGCACGTTGATGCAGCAAATAACTTGTATCTGGTGTTTTCCAAGCACACTTACCTGTGAGCTAACATTTTTCTATGTATCTGTAGAGCCAAACTGGAGTAATAACCAATCTCTGATCTGCTAGACCTGAGCCAAGTGTAGATAAACTGTAGCCAACATACAAACACCTTAAACAAATCATAGTTTCTCATAGTCTGGAACAGTTCCATTAAGTGTGTGACTAGGGTAGCAGTTTGTGCAGTGGGTCCCTTACAGATGGGAGTCTGTGGTCTTGCAGCTCATGGTAGCCATGCATTGATGGCATGTGTTTCTTTTAAGTAGGCTGTGGGATTAGCATAACAGTCCATAGGGCTCACTCTGGGTTACAAACCAGTATTAAGCTCTGGAATCATATTATGGAGTTAGTCTTAATTCTTTAAGGCTGTGTGTAAATTCTTCCTATCAAGTGGATATATTTGTTAGACTGAGATAATGATTAATTTATGTTAATTTATATCCTGCTGTTTTCTTTTTTTAACAAAGATCTCAAAGCTGCTGACATTTTCTTTCCTTTGCTCTCATTCTTATTCCTACAACAACCCTATGTGGAGGTTGGGCTGAGACTCTGGCCCAACTATTGAGCTTCAGTTTTGCAAAGATTCATCCTCTACCCTCCAAAAGCCAAAGATGTAATGATCTCTGGAGTACATGAGTACTGGTGTGAAAGCAATCCAACTGATGTTTCCGTATAAACATCATGAACACACACCTCTTCCCCACTCCAAGGTACATGTATTTGTACATTCAGCTAACAAGGAACAGTAGTTCTCAGCCTTGCCTTCAAAAGTGTGTAGACCCTTGCCACAGAAACATTTCTGTGATTTAACATTATCCAGCTCCATTCCATTTAGCAGTCTGCTGCTCTGCTTTCTCTGTCGTTGCTCCTATGCCTAGGACTGTGTCCTAGAACTCCAATGCCACAATCACTCAAGGATCAACTTCTCTCTGTAGCCTTTGCTACAGCCCTGTAGTATCACTGTGTAATAGTGCATATCCTTCCTGTTGGCTCTTGTGACAATAGTCTGTAACTCCCTTGGAACAAAGGCCTTTTGTAAAAGTTCAATGGATATAAAGTGCCATATTGGCACAAGCTTCACATCATTACAGAATTCATGCAGAAATTGGTTCCTTCCATATGCGTATGAGAAGAACACAGAGCACTTGTATTAGCTAACTTCCAGGAGTCTTATAAAAGATGATCTGGTGTTGAACTCTAGAGTTCAGGACTCTAGACATAAATATGAGTGGAAAACTCATTTCTGCAACTGCAATCAGAAGCAAAGATGACAGTTCTAAGAGAACTACAGACCATTCCCATACTTCCTAATGCAACACTCAGGGATGGAATCATCTAGTTTGGAGCTAATCAGAAACAGTTACATGATATACTGTAGATCTGTAAGGATTTCTGGCTTCAAACAGTTTTAAAATGGTAACAATACTATTATTTTTTTAAAAAATGGATGGTCCCTTACCGTAGTCTTGGGATGGTTTAACAATAAGACAAAATAGAATAAAACACAGCATCCTAATCAAATTCTTAACCAATCAACAATAAAACCCATATTAAAAACAGTCAAACATTAAAACATAGGGAAACAAAAAGGTTTTAGCCTGGCGCCAAAATGAATAAAGTGATGGCATCAGGTGACCCTCTCTGGGGAGCATATTCCACAATCTGCAGGGTGCCACCACAGAGAGGGTCCTTCTCTGGGTAGTCCTCCTCCTCTCTATAGGATGGTTCTTGGAGATCTTAAGGGGCAGGCAGGCACATATAGAAGGAGACGCTCCTTCAGGTAACCAGTTCCTAAGCCCAAAAGCTTGGATGTTTACAAGCGGATTTTTGGGTGTACGGAGTAGTGGAATGAAGGCAAGGGTTAATGGGAAGCAGGGAATGAGAAATATGCACCAGACTGTGTTCTTATTCCAGTGCGGTTGGAAAAATTTGGAAGAAATTGTCCCCTCCCCCTTCTCTGTTTGCCTGCAAAAGATTTTGGGGGTAACTCAAGCCAAATTTCTGGGTGGGAGTAGAGCAAGTACAGAAGTGTCTGGATACCCTCCAGGGCTCCACAGAAAATGTAATGTCACTATGTTTTTCAAAAGCATCGAATAAACCAGTTCTGTTGATTTCACACAACATGATCAGGTTGCTGCTAAAAAGAATGTGACTAGCTTTGGCCTGGTACTAGCATTGACACAGCTGCATTTCTTACTTGGTTAAGAAGTGTGCTGAATACAGTGAATTTCCAAGGCATAATTTAAATATTTCAATTTTAAGAGATCTTTGGCTTTCCACTTGAAGAGACTGAACACAAATGCACTGAAAATTGAGGATTTTATTGAAAAACTGACCAATAAAATGTTCTTGTGAAAGTGGTACACTGTAACAGCTTTTTTTGTAATTCTTAAACTTCCTCTAATATGGAGGAAGTGTCCACACATGGTAGCGTATAGATTTTAAAATGTCCATATGTTCCATTTTAAAAGCAAACAGTATCTTTTGGTCTTAATTCTAAGTGGTGCAACCAGAACAAAAACAAAAACCCCTATTAGTGAAGGTGAGCTAGATTAGACAAACACAGGAAAATATACAAAAAATGACATTTAAGTTTCCACAATTATAAACTTTCAAAAGAAAAACTGCAGCATTATAGGAAGTTAGTTAATAAAGTTTAAATAATGTAATTATCTTTAATGAATCAAATCCAAGTATATATTTATAAATTGACTTTTTGAATATATTATGCTTCAACTTATGGTGGGTTTCCAGCACAAACTGATATCCACAGGTGTACTATTTGATACAAATTGCTATATATCCATGAATTGTCATTTCAGACTTAATAAGGTAACTGAAAAGTATGCTGCTTGGAAAGAAAGATTATTTCCCTTTGCCATGAATTAAAGCAATTACTTGGAAGACCAGTAAAAGTGAGTTTAGTTAAGGAAGAGTTTCTGGAATTCCTTAAAAAGATTCATCATTTATGTTTATCAAGATACTTTTGCTAGATTTTGCTAGAATAGTGAGTTTAACTTATCCATCCTTAATCTGTCCAAAATATTTGGAATACAAATTGCTTCCCAAAAATGCAAACTTCAGCTACGTGAACTTAGAAGCATAGAAAAAGGACTTGAACCTGACCCCTCCTGTGGTAGTTTACACATTGTTGCATGGACTTTTCTTTGTAATGCAATCCCATATCCAAGGAGATGCAAATCCTTGAAAATGATTCCACAGATCTCCAGGACATAATATTTTCTTTCCAGCCAGTGAGAATGCATTTAAAGAAAAATTATGAAGTGCAAAATGCTAACCAGGAGTTACCTAATTGTGACTTTGCTACATCAGAAAAGAACAAGGAGCCACAAGTGCTGTGAAGTCTTGCACTATTAGGTGCTAAACAAGTTTGCTTCATTCATGCCAATTCATTACCATCAAAATTTCAGATCTAAGACTTTCTAATCTAGAATTTGCTCTAAGTGAAGGAATGTACCTGCATGCATAGAGCCCCCTTTACTGGGATTTCCCATTTATTACAAAGAGAGTAAATATACATGAACGTTATTTTTAGTTGCATGGATCACTGTCACAAGTTCCTGAACTAAAAGCTCTATGCATACAAGAATTTTTTAAATGCATCTGGCCTTGGACAGACCAGCTGCTGTGGGCACCAATTTTTCCTGAAACTTACTATTGTAACAAAACACTCCATATAGCTACACATTTTAAGATGTGATGAAATACAATATAAATTGCATTTTTAAACATCTATCACAGCTGGTAAGGCTCCCCTCTTTTTTGGGGTGCAAATAGACTAGAATTTCTGAGAGCTCACAAATGTGCTCAGAGATGTTGCAGCACCTCTTACATTTTTATCCATCAAGTTCAAGTTAAGATTAATCTCTTTTCTAAACAGAATTTACTAAACCAGTATTATGCCTTTACCAAAGAGGACAAGTATTTCCATTGGGTTGGATCCAACCTTGCCTATGCTTAGAGTAGACCTACTGAAATCAATGTAACAATTTAGCCACAACCAAGTTAAGTCCTATGCACTTCAGTGTTCTACGCTAAGCATGACAAAGGCAGGATCCAACACTTTCTGTCTAACCACTTTGAGCAGAGACCTATTTGCTAGACACTATTCTGACAACTCTTCGGTCAATATTTATTTTTGTAGATCTCTATGAAAGACAACTTTGGCATTATTTACCCAATAATTTTAGATTTAGGAAATGACCAGTTGCATATTCCCACAGTTTGGTGGCCATCACCTAACTGCATACTGCTTGTCATTCATTCATGTAAGAACAGAACTGTAAATTCCTATAAAGCATCTCTGTATTTTATGAGGTACCTACAGGACTAATAAAACAAAGGGCAAGATCTAACATCATGTGAACAGACTTCCACTCACACAACAGCACTTTTTCTCTCCCTCCACCACAAATCCACTTTAGAGAGTCCCCCTGGCCTCCAGTTCCATCAGTAAATGGGGTCAGCTGGATTCAATCTACAGTGTCAGGCGTTCAAAGCCCATGCCACCTCCTAGAATCAACTAGCAGAGGAAACAGTAACTGACAAAACATTTCTGCATGTATCTGTTTCATTATCTGTTTACATGGAAAAGTTGCATCTCTCATAATGGATATTGGTAACAAAATTGTACTTCCAATAATATGGCAACCACAACAGTACAGTCAGTCAAGGGTTCACACAGTTTTTACTGTCAAGATTAGTTAAGGTTGGAGCTTTGAATAAATTTACCATATTTCTGGAATTGGGCCCAAGAATTCTCCCATCATACATTATAGCAAGTGGGACTACTGTATCTTTTTCCTAACAAAGCTTATGCGGCTCACCGATTTTGAGTGCCGGGACCCACCTCACCTTATTTCACATTCCAAGTTATCGCCAGCACTGGGTGTGTTACCCAGCATGGTGGTTTTCTTCAAGTCTGAAAGTGACTTGAGCAGTTTCCAGAAAAAAAGATTGACTAGGTTGCACAAAGAATATACTTCTGAAAATATTTACATTTTTGTACATTTACACATCACCGGAAGCTAAACCTCTGAATACAAATGATCGTTAAGTACCGACAATTTTGGACACATTCTTTCCAGTAAAGCAAAAAGGCTAGGTTATCTTCAAGTTTCATACACTGGAACCATGTGAAGATCCTAATTTTTAAAAACCCATCTGGGGGGAAATAAAACAAAAACCATTCTTCTTTCTGTAGCTACCCATGCTGGGAACACCCTGATTATTCTTGCACATTTTTTCTTTTATTCATTGTAAGCCTTATTCATTTATCCTAGATTTTTATTAGGAAAAAAATCTAAAGCTCTGAGATTGTTTCTGTAATATAACTGCATATATTAAATATATTCCCAAGTGCATCTGCACATCAATATAGGGTGAGTGTGCTTGATGGGTATAGATTAGATAAACCCAAAAAGAATGGACTGGTTTGCACAAACAGTATGGGGGGGGGGGGGGGGAGGAAGCCACAGGAGTTTGCTTAAGCTGCAATGCATGCAGGATAGAAATACGTTTATCATCCAAACACAGTAAACATGGCTCCTTTGAGAAGGAAGCAACCCTCAAACAAGCCAACAAAGCCCATTGGTTATATGAAGGTTGTTTCTCCCTCAAAGATGACATGCTATCCAGGTTTGGATAGTAAAAAAAAAGCCATGGCTGGGGATGGTTGTGATTATGTGTTACAGCTTGCTTGAACCAGGTCAATGTCAGTGATTCAACTTGTAGACTAATGAAAAGTCTCCAAGCATGCTCTCCAACATGCACAGAAAGGAAATTTCCAACCAGCTTGAAAAAATAGCATCAGCAAATTTCATGAGATTAATAAATGGAGAATGGAGAAATTAACAGTTTGGGAAAATATGAATAGCACCACAATGAATTGCACTAAGGTGCTAAAGGAGGTACCTTATTCCCTGCAGAGTGAATTCTCTAGTTCCGAAATGTATTGCAATAAGGTAAATGCAACTGTTTAAGTGGCTACCATTTGGTTCATTATCTACATAAAATTAATTTCTCTTTACTATATGCTCAGCTGATGTTCAATTGATGGAATATTACAGAATTTACAATTAATGAAAACAAAGCTTAAAGGGAGGTTATGAGGGCATCTTGAATAACACAGATGCTTTGAATGGCCACCAGCCAGGTAAGACATTTTAGTTATTAATGTTATGGTCCAAGAGTGCTTTTTATTACCAAGAAACGTAAAAAATTTAAAAACAAATTACAGTCTTTATAGCTGTTATGTAAGTATGTTTGGAAGGAGGAGGGCTCATCACTGAGGTGCCAGGCAACCATGCTTGCAGGTCTGGATGTATAAATGCATGTGACACACCAGGACACCTGCTGTCATTTAGACACTAGATGGATGCTCTTGATATTGTACAACTGATTGAGCTTCACTCAGTGTTCCCTTTCTGAATTAATTTAAGTTTTATCCCTTCCAGTTCCACCCACTATCAGGTGTCTGTGGGCTATCTGCATCCTCTCCTTTTGTGGCATGCTGGTATTCTTTATTCACAGCTAGGTTTCCAGTTACATTAGAGATCAGGAAAACGGCTAGGGTCCTCCTTGTAGTCATCAGGAATTGTGAAGATTGATTCATCAAATTCGTCATAACGAAACTCCTGAAAAGTCACAGTGGCTGTGATGGTTGGAAACACAGGTATATCTAGGAGGAACAGAGCAAAAGCATTGATTTGATTCAATGAACTGCAGTATGAGACATTGTGTCTTTAGAAAAGAATTCTCCTGCCCTACCACATTCACGGGATCTTTCAGGACCACCTTGCCAGAGTAGAGCTTGAGGGAAATGCTATGGTCCAGTATGGAAGATGGAGTTTTAAGACTACTTTTCACCCCGTGGATATTGGCCATGGAGTACCAAAAGTTTCCTGCCTGTCTCCAATAATTGTTAACAGGTACATGCAAATGCTGGAAGAGTTTATGCAGATATTTGGGCTGGAGTTTCACCAATATGCAGACATGCATGGTTTGACCTCTTACTTCCATCTGGTAATCCCAAGAAGGAAGCGTTAAGCAGCTATCTGAAGGCAGTTCTGGGATGGAATATGGCAAATCAACTGAAAATTCAGAGGAGACAGAAGTATCAGAAAGAGCAATTCTGTATAAGATCGGCACCTTCTTTTGAATGTGGTAACCTCCCCCCCCCCCCCGTTGCCTGAATACTCAGGTATAATTTTTGGTGATACTCCTGCTGCCAATTATTTATGGATGCACAGGTGACCTCAGGCGTGACCTCAGTGGCCTGGACTTCCTTTTAACAATTTGCACTGGTGCATCAAATGCAATGCTTCCTGCAGCAAGCAGATGCTGCCTAAGTTATACACATACTGGTTAAGTCTAGAATAGACTACTGTAATGCTCTGTACAGACAAATGGATTTGAAGACATCACCAACCTGATGACTTTCAGAAGTTTTGCACTACAATTTCCGTCACCCCTTCACCACTGACTATGTTTGCTGGGTCTGAAGTGTGTTGTAGGCCAACATCTGGAGAATGCTCAGTTAGGAAAGACTGGTTCTAGAAACCACAGCGGCTGCAAAAATTCAGCTACCAAAATGCATGTGGAGGCTGTGTGTGTTAATAACAACACACCAAACTTTGCATTATTGCACTGGCTACCCATTCATTTAAAATTGCTCCCATTCATTTAAAGCTGCTTTTCCCAACCTGGTACTTCCAGCTGTTTCCAGGTAAATCCCAACAGACCCAGTCAGCATGGGCAATGAATAGTTCAGAGTGTGCTAGTTTCACAGAAGGCTCTTTTAAAGGATGAATTTAACATGTTGCTACTAAGTTTGAAAATCATAGATGACATGCAACCCAGTTATGTGAAAGACCTTGTATATCTGTAGATTAGCTTTGGAGGCCCTGCTCTCAGAGCTGCCACTAAGGTTGACTGCGCTGGCAGCTACCAGAGATAGGATCCTCTTGGTAGCAGCCCCACACATGTGAAATTATATCTGCCTAAGCAAACCCTAAGCATTTTATTTATTCCTACAAACACTATTTTGTTGGACCCGTGTAAATTATTTGTTTTTTTAGTATGTTGTCAATTGTCTAACCTTTATTTTAAGTTGGCTTGGAAGGGCTCCCCAGAAAAGAGAGGCAGAAAGATATCAAATATATATTCATTCTCCAAGGCCCACCCCATCTTTTGAGAACAGTTTGCGAAAGTCCCTACAACCTTAAAATATTGTCAGCCATTTTCTTTAATTCTACACCACCAAATTCAGACAGGAAGTCCTCTGGGCAGTCACTATGCTATGTGTGTGTGAGAGCAAGCAAGCAAGAGAGGAGGCTGATCCTAGTTACTACTGCTCTAGTTTGCTTGGACCTTATTTCATAGCTTTATATGCCCCTGTCAAAGTTGTCCAAGAAGGGTGGGAATATTTTAAAAAAGGAAATTTTAAAGGCACAATTATAAACAATTCCAACAAGAGAAAAGAGAACAAGGAAACATTGTGGCTTCATAAAAAGCTTAGGGATGATCTGAAAACAAAAAAAGGTCATGTATAGGAAGCAGAAGGAATGCCAGGCTACAAAGGAAAAGTAAAACAGGTAGCATGCAATTGATGGCATCAGGAAGGTTCTGCTAGGGATGAATTGTAGCTAGCAAAGGATGCTAAATGCAACAAAGAAACCTTTAGATATATCCATAATAAAAGACAGAGGAAAGAAATGGAGGATCCAACTACTCAAGTGGATGCCAAAAAGAAAACAGATGACAAAGAAAAGGCAGAAGTATCCAATTCCTACTTTGGCTCAGTCTTCTCCCAAAAGCTATATGACCTTCCTGATGCAGGGGAAGTACAAGCTGAAGGGGCAGGATGGCAGGTTGAGATCAACAGGCAAATGCGGAAATCCATCCTAGAGTAACAGTGAAGCTGGAAGAACTCTCAGAAACACTGTCTATTTAATCTTGCAGAAATCATGGAGGACAGGGGAAGTGCCAGATGACTAGAGAAGGGCCAAAGTTGTCACCTTCTTCAATAAAGAAGAAAAGAATCTGGAAACTTAATACCCTGGAAGATGGTAGGGCTGGATAAATGTGGATGGCTTGGACCATGTCATTGTTTTGCACAGGTCCTCCACCAGGACACCAGCATTTATCACTGTTGCCATTGCTCTGATTGAGTGGGCTTTTGGTTTTTGTGAAAGTTCCAGTCTGGCTAATTGGTATGCTAGTTTGATGGTTTCTGTCATCCAGTGGGCCAGTCTTTGAGGTGTTATAGGGTTTTCTTTTGCAAGTTCCGCATATGAAATAAACAGTCTTTGTTTCGGGGATTGGTTTGGTGTGTAAGCTGTAAAAGGCTAAGGCACTGAGTACATCCCATGAGCGTAGTCTAATTGGTCCAGATGGTACTGAGAAGAAAGCTGGTAGGATAATATCTTGATTCAAGTGGAAGAAGGATGCCACTTTGAGGAGAAAGGAGTGGTCTGGTCAGAGTACTGCCTTGTCCTTGTGGAAGGTTAAGAATGGAGGGTCAATCCAGAGGACACATGATTTGCTAGCCCAGCGTTCTAATGTAATAGCCACAAGGAAAGCCACTTTCCAGGACACCAGATGGATTTCTGCAGTAGTCAGAGGTTATTTGGCTACTGCAGACACCAACAGTGGCTTTGTTGGTGCCTGGAGCATCACTTAAAGGCTTCATCCCAGCACACCTGATCAGGACAGTGGTGATATGTTCTGCAGTCCTTACAAAAATCTTTTGGCTAGAGGGTGAGAAAAAACTGAATACCCGTCAATCGTCCCATGGAAGGAGGATATAACCACCAAGTATATTCTAACTTGGCAATGGCTTAAAGGCTGTGCAAGAAGGTGAGAATCTGGTGGATGGAGGATAAATGTTAGGGTTGAATCCTTGCTGTTTTCAAAATGTTCAATTCTTTTCCAATCTTCATATGAGTGCCTGATAATTGCTTTAAGCACAGCATCAAGGATTTGCTGTATTTCTGGTTGTAAAAGTGTTCTTGGATCTACCCAATGATCTTCCAAGCCATTAGTTGTAATGTCTCTATGTTGGGGTGAAGGACTTGTCATCTGTCCTGAGATATTATGTCCATCTGCAGTGGACGTTTTCTGTAGTTCCTGTTGGACAGGAGTAGGAGGTCCATGAACCAAGGTTGCCGTGGCTACCATGGAGTCACTAGGGTACAATCCATAAGGTCTCCCCAGAACTTGGCCACTATTTTTGTTATGAGTGGCAATGGTAGGAACATGTAAAAAGTTCCTTTCCATTTTAGGAATGCATTGCTGAGAGATCCTATGCCTATCCCTGCCCTAGAGCAGTATCAGTTGCACACTGCATTGGCTGGTGTTGCAAACAGTTCCACAGAAGGGCTTCTCCATATTGTAAATAGCTGTTTCAGGAACACGGGGTGCAGTTCCTACTTGTGTGCTTAATCTGTTGGCTATCTCATTGTAGACCCCCTCTAGATGGACTGCTGAGGATTACAGTGTGTTTTAAGCACCAGTCCCAAATCTGTATGGGCAGTCTTGTTAGTGGAATGAAACAAGTTCCACCCTGTTTGTTTAAGTAATGCCATGATGGTACTGTCAGAAATTATCTGAATGTGGTGCTCATAGAGCAATGTTGGAAAGAGAGCAGGGTTTTTCATACTATAAGAAGCTCCAGGAAGTTCATATGCCTGGTGCACTCTTGACTGTCCATATCCCATGTGCTATCTTGCCAGTGCAATGAGTTCCCCCTCCCTATGCAAAGTGTCCATCATTATGGTCAGATGCAGTGTCTTTGGATCAAAAGGGACACCAGCTGAAACCGTTTGCGGTATAGTCCACCAAGTGAGACTGGACCATACCAAATGTAGTATGAAGCACTTCAGTTTGGAGTCTTGCTGGGAAGAAACTCTCTCAAAAACCACAGCTGGAGCAGCCTCATGAGGAGGCGGTCATGCTGCACAACTGAAATGGTAGCTGCCATCAGTCCCAGGGGGTGTTACATTTGCAGTGCAGTAAAGCTGGCATCTGTTTGGAGGCGTACAACCGGTCCACATAAGGTTATGGCTCTGTCCTGTGAGAGGTTGAAAAGGAAGTAATCAAGTCCAGCCTTGCACCAATGTACTAGATGGACTAGATAGGAAAGAGGACAGATTTTTCATTGTGAACACAAAGACCCAGTTCTTGCAACAGGGCACAGGTAGTGTCTGATTAGGATAAGATGGTTAACAGTCAATCATCCAGATACAGGAAAATTTTAATCCCTTGAACCAGAAGGTAAGCACAGACTTTGGCCATACATTTTGTAAACACACTCAAGGTGGTGGCCAGTCTAAATGGAAGAACACAGAACTCCTAAGTCTCTGTCCCAATGTGGAAAAGGACAAATGTCTATAGTCCAGATGGATGGTGATATGAAAATATGCATCTTTTAAAATGATCAAAGTAAAACAGTCCCTTCACCTTAGCAATGGTAGTATAGTTTGTAGTGAAATCATGTGGAAATTCTTGTGTGGAATATGGTTCTAAGGTCCAAAATGGGGTGAAGGCCACTGTCCCTTTTAGGGATGGCGAAATATCTTGAGTAGACTCCCCTCTGGTTGATGGAACCACTTGGATTGCTCCCTTTGCTTGAAGTATGGCTACCTCCTCTTCCAAGGTGACTAACAGGAAGGTAATCTA